CGCGAACAGGTCTCAATGGTAGAGTCGCAAAGGCTCCAAAAACGAATGGCTTCTGTCGCATGGATCAGTCGGTTCAGCCTACGAATTGCATGCGTCGTGCTAGTGGCTACCAACCGAAAAGCTCTGGACCGAGAGCGGCGACTGGCTGCCGACGGGTTGTCGCTGAACCGCAGCAGGGACCGGCGGCTGGCTGTGATCACTGAATCGCAGCAGGGACCGGCGGCTGGCTGTGGCGCGAGGGCCGCCCGCTCCTAGCGGCGACAGCCGCCAGTTGCGCCATCATGCCGCCGCGGAGTGGGCGCGCCTGGAGGGAGCACGGCCGGCCTCGTGCCGCCGCGGCGCGGGCCCCCGGCCGATCGCCTCATCTGGGGCCGATTCTCGGAACGCGCGCTCATGGCTGCTGTTGACGGCAGGCGCTGCCGGCTGTTGGCCTGCACTCCCGAGGTGCCTCTGTGTACACACGCTGTGTGCACTGCAAGTGCCATTACTGTCAGCCGCTCGGCGCCGTCGCGCGGGCGGTGGCGCGCGTTGGCTACCGTCGGTGGGGCTGCCATTCTGCTGATGCTGCCTGAACTGAAATGATGGAATAGCCCCACTTTCTCATTCACCGTTGAGAGCTCTAATGTTTTTATTTTATTGTTTATATCTGAAGCGGTATCCATCCACCTCGATGAGCACATTTTGTGGGAAGCATTTGTCACCACGGAAGACGAGAGCCCGCTCAACAAACACCATGCGTCTGAGAAGGTGCACATACAATGTTTGTAGGGTTCAGTGATGGCAATGTACTTATGTTATCGGCTTAATGACATCACGTTGATAATTTATCGTTTAATTACGTCATTTTAAACGTGACAAACGCCGGTTGCCATGCTCCAGGCTGCCTGCGCCGGAATAGCTACCTCTCATGTTAGATAATCATCCATCTCACTAACTAACAGCAGGGGTAGGCCATGGGATTACGAGTGTGACCAAACGTCTGGATCAAGTCCTCAAGTCCTCCTCCGGGTATCAATGTCTACAATGGGCTGCGCTGAATCCTGCCACCTGTGGTGCTACTCTGGCGATGCGTTCAGCTGACTCGAGGTGGGGGCTGCCACGGGGCGAGCGGTACCCGGGCCGGTGCCACCCCGTCCACACCGTATCGATTTTAGCAATCATCAATCTTCCTCGGAGTCGTGCCGCGCGCCTAAGTGGGAACCATATGAGTTTATATGGAAACGACATTGATTGGTTGCATTTAAATTTTAGATGCGTTGAATTTCCCAGAGGGTTGCCGGCGAAATCGAGAAATCCTGACGTTTCAAATTGGCTGTAATCTAACTGTTACGTTCAAATCGAAGGGGGTTTCAGAATAAGTGATAACAAAAGCCGCAAACAAGCGCTGGAAATTGAAAGAGCTTTGAACAAATTGCTTGACGCAGCGGATGCGCTGAGGTGTGGCGCCCCGACTGATTATCATCCCCATCACTAACTGATCTATTCATGCACAGGTGCAGTCCAGGCCGCGTCTGCCATAAGCTGCTCGTTGACCTAAATCTAGTTCTAATGTGGTTTTCCTTCTTGTCCTTCTCGGATGGTGCTTAATATGCCCCGAAAGAGCAGACAGGGTGGCGGTTAGAGATCGGGTACCGGCTTTTTTCTCGGATGTGCATCCAGCATGTCGTGATGTGATACAAATTTATCATAGGGATGATGCTCTCTCCAGCGCAGAGGACCACACCAGCAGTACGTCAGACACGCTTCCACGAGAGGCCTCCTCCCGTCCTGCGGGGAAGCACCGCACCCCACCCGTGCCGGCCCAAGAGACTCTACTCGCTACATATCCCACGTCCCGCTTCGCAGCGAGGCCCGGCCACCAGAATAGGAGTCTGCCCCCCCCCCCCCCATCTCTCAGGGTCTCCCGACTGTGCCAGACCCTATTGTTTGCAGCCGGCCAGCCGTCGCCGCCCGGCCTTTTTCGCCGCGCGGTCGGGCCGCTCCAGAGCGCGCTGCGGGCGGTCGCAGGGCCGGACCGCCGTCCGACCCTGCAGCTGATCAGCCCAATCGGCTGGCGCCAGGCGCCTGCCGAGCGCCGTGTTTTTTGATGCAGTAGTCATGGCGATAGGCCTTTTCTGTTCTGGGTCGCATTTGTGCCGGGAAATAAAGGAAGCTGCAATCCGCTGGCTATGGTGAACACACAGCGGGTATGACGCCTAACCTTACCGTTTGATCAGAAATGCTCTCAACTAAATAGATTTTCCTTCCTCGCACGTACGGTCTTGTTACAACGCGTACTTGTATTTACTTGAAGTGTTTTCGTTGTTGAAGGCACCTTTGAAATGCATCAAGTTTGTGCTGGTTAACGAGAATTACTGAGTACTCGCTGCATCCCCCAGCGCACTTACGCCACGTGGTACCAGTGCTCTCGAATACCAATGATGATGCCCACGTTTGCGATTCAAAGGGATGTCTCGAAAGCACACATACCAAGCAGTTTTGACCGCCAACACGTTCAGGCATGTTTACATGCGAGTGACAACTCTATATTATCACGCAGCCCCGTGCGCGCGTCAGGGAAGTACTCCTTTCACGAAAGACACACGTCAAGCAAACGGCCGCGACCCTGGCTCAGAGACCTTTACCGCAACACTGTGTCCATGAAATCGTCATAGTTTTTAAGTTACAGATGAAGTCGTTGCATCTGTTATGCGCTAGCTTAGACGGAGCAAATTGCATATTATTAGGTGAACCAGGCTGGCCAGAGGCGCCAGCGGAAAGAATGTATTTATTTGAATAGACGAGTTGGGAAGATATCGGAATGCACAGAAATACACATGAATGGAAACCGAGATAAAGATGGAAGGCACGAAAGTTATGTTGAGGAGCAAGTATCCCGGTGGCAATGAAGGTGAACATCCGAAGGACTATTGGACTATCTGGTCAAACGTTCAGCTTTTAGCGAATAGTCACTTAAAAGGAGCAGTAGTGAAAGGTTCGAGGCAAGGCTGTATGCTGATTTAATCGAGCATACGGCTATTTTAGGTGCTAATCTTTGACGCTTCCCTGCGGCCGAATGGGGCAGAGCCAGAGAACACCTCCCTTAACGTTGGTTCAATGGCCTCGCCAAGTCCCAGGGAGAGAGAGAGAGAGCTGGAGGGATAGAAAGAAAGAGAGATGGAGAGAGGGGAGAAAGGGAGCGAAAGAGAGAGGAGGAGAGAGAGGAAGAGAGAGGTGAAGACAGAGAGAGAGAGAAAGGGTAGAGGAAAGAGAGAAAGAGAGAGAGAGAGAAGAGAAGAAGAGAGAGAGAGAGTAGAGAGAAGAGAGAGAGATATAGAGAGAGAGAGGCGAGAGATAGAGAGAGAGAGAGAGAGAGAGAGAGAGAGAGAGAGAGAGAGAGAGATAGAGAGAGAGGAGAGAGAGAGAGAGAGAGAGAGAGATAGAGAGAGAGAGAGAGAGAAGATGAGAGAGCTGCACACAACAGCTACAGATCTAGGGAAGCTTCCATATACGGCGCACATTGCATGCATTTGACAGGGGTTTACTGCATCGCGGAGATCGAGTAGCTGACAAAAACAAAAACAAGGTCGGCGTGATTGTGACAGCTTTTTACACTTGCACGGAAGAAACAAAGTTGTTGGAATCCATCCCTTTCAGTTGCCGAACTTACCTGCGCGACACCAAAATGGACGTCGTGCGTGGATAATCGATAATCTCCTTCCTCCTTGACCTGATTCGTCTCCAATCGACAACGTATCAGCTCGTGCGGAAATTTATTACAAAAGCAGTAATTCTCCTACGCATGAAACTTACGGCTTATGGAAAACATCAGAGCATTCCAGTGAACTATTCCAATCTGCTACTTAAATATTTCGCTGAATTATTCCGACACACATTTCCGAAAAATTTGAACGGTGCATTGCGATTTACCAGCCAAGGTGTTCGAATACCGAAACCCAACCGGGTAATCACCTCTCGTTACGAAGCGATATTTCGCGTCAGAGATGAGATATAAAGAAAGTTCATCTGCGATGAACGAATCCAGGTGCTTTCAGCAAGCGCAGCCTCCATACAAGTCACGTCAACATCATTAGAAGCCATTCAGGGCTAGCGATGCCGAGGCGGCGGCGGCCGAAGCTGGGCTGGAAAGGCTCCAACGGCCGCTGAGGCTTCGTGCTTTCACGTAACAAGGTACCGTGATGCAGGCTGGCGCTGACCGTCAGAGTCGGGCGATGAAACATTCATAAAAACAGGATTTACGTTTCCGCGAAGACCTTCTCACCTTCACTTGTTTGAAATGGAGGTGCGATTTGAAGCGCTTCAGGGCGAGTCCCGTTAACGTGTTCTGAGACCCGCACGTGCGGGGTGCGAAGTCTCTGATTACATCAACGGCGTATGATGAGCCCGGTCGTACTCCTCATCACTCATGGGCTATTCTGGTACGCGTGTCTCACGTACGCAGATGTCAGAGCTGAGCTGTCTGTCCGGCTGATGTCAGAGCTGAACCGCCTGTCCGGCCGATGCCAGGGCTGAGCTGTTTCTCCGGCTGATGTCAGAGCAGAGCTGTCTCTCCGGCTGATGTCAGAGCTGAACTGTCTGTCCGGCTGATGTCAGGCCTGAACCGTCTGACCTGCTGATGCTCGCGCGCGGTGACTGAAGGCGGTGTTTCCAAGGTTTTCATCCCACTCCAGATAGTGGAATGGCGCCACTGCAGGGCAACAGCGGTGTAGTACGCCACTTCAGGCTCAGTTGCAAAACATTGTTCTTGATGCACCGTCTGGAATGCTGCAAATATACAAGCTTTGTAGATGTAACATCTTGGTCGCAGTCACTACTTTGAGTACCTGACGAAGAAACACCGAAGTAAATTCATATGTATATCCTGCACTGATAAGTAAGAGCAATAGCCGCACTTTATGCTGCAAATTGCATCCTAGAGCCACACCAGACTGGTCATGAGCAATTATCCATTGAAGGGAATCCTACGCCCTTGCATTAATTATACCGCCCTTTTCTTTCAGCAACCAACACAGTGCCGTTCACTGCCTTCGGTTCGCCGGCCCAGCAGCGACAAAGACAACGGCAACAAGAACAACAACAACAGCAGCAGCAGCAGCAGTCCCAGCAGCAGCCTCAGCAGCAACAGCAGCGCCCGGGTCGACTGCTGAACGGCAACAACCTGGCATTCCAGCCGCGGCCACCGTTCCAGTTCGGCGCGCCAGCTCAGTTCGGCGCGCCACAGTTTCGGCCCCAGCCCTTCACCGTGTTCCGGCAGCCACCGCCGGGCCAGTTCCGGCCACCGGCTCAGACACAGTTTGGCCAATTCCGACCGGTCACGGCGCCGCCGCCGGCCGGCGCCGCCGTCCGGTCGCCCTTCCCGCCGCCGCCGCCCCAGACGTTCTTCGGTCGTCCGGCGACGGCGACTCCTCCGACCACCGAGGCGCCGACGGAGCCGCCGCCGGCTGCCACTACCCAGCGCCCGCTGCGGCTGCGGCCGCGCGTCCGCAACCCGGCCGGTCGGGTCACCCTGTTCCAGTTGGTGACCACTTCCACCACGCCGACGCCAGCCGTTGAGCTGGAGCCCACGCTGCGCTCGAACGAAGTGACGGTGTTCGAGCCGTCCCGGCAGGAGGTGCGCGGCCGGTTCGACCAGCAGGCGGCGCCCGAGACCACCACCGAGTTCGTGCCGCAAACCACCCTCGCGCCGACCACCTTCGGCGGAACCACGTTCCCGCTCTTCCGTGAGGAGCCGGAACGCGTTACGCAGCGTCCCGTCGAGGTGCCGACGGAGTTCACGACAGAGGAGCCGTTCAATAGTCTAAATTTCACGAGTGATGGCAGCCTGGTGGAGTTTGTAGACTACTCGCCCGACCCACTGGCTGGCGACCAGTTTTCCGACTACGTGGAAGAGGGCAACGACTCATTTGCTGGCTTCGAAGATCAAGGGCTACAAGGAACAGAAACAGGGCCTTCGAATCAATTCGCAGACACAACAGAGAGGAGTTTAGGCACCACAGGCTTCTCAGGCGATGATGTTCCAGACTTCACCACCGATGACTCTCTGATTGAGTTCACCAAACAACGGGACCAGGTGCTAAGGGGATTCGCTGACGAGGCGGAAACCACCACGGAGGCCCTGGTGTTCGAAGGAGGCTTCGAAAGCACGACCCCAAGTTCCTTTGACGAGTTCGCTACCACCAATGAAGAGTTTGTCAACAGGACGACAGAACCGATAGCATTTGCCACAACGGAGACCACTCCGGAGAGTACCACGGAGCGACTGTTCGCTGTCTCCGACGACAAACAGCTGCAGGATCTGGACGTCAGTCCAGGAGACGTCAGTGAGGAGACGACGCTGGCGCCGGTCACCGAGCCGACCCTGGCCGACGAAGAGTTCACTACGGCTATCACGGCGCCGCCCACCAACCGAATCACGCGCGAAACGACACCGCTGTCGCCGCGGCCCACCCGGCCGTCCCTGCCGCGGCGCGGCCTTTCGTCCTCCATTCGCGACCGGCTCAGGAGCCGCAACAGGGACTCGGGCAGCTCGCGCTTGAGGCCGGCGCAGGACGAGCCCGAGGCTGCCGCGGAGGAGGCGGAGGAGGCCGCGCCGCCGCCGCGCCGCCTGTCGCTACGGGAGCGTTTGCGGCAGCAGCTGCAGGCGAAGCAGGAGGACGCCCCCACGGAGCCGTCGACGGTGGTGACGACTGTGACGGCCCGCCAGGTGAGCGGGCTACCGTCCGGTCGCGCCACCGAGACGACCACGGAGCGACGCCTGGCTGCGCCGACGCGTCGCCCGCGCCCCTCCAGCAGCCGCGGCGGCCTGGCCTCGCTGCTGGTGAAGCAGCTGAAGGACGCTCAAGGGGAGGAGACGCCACCATCAGTCGAGGAGACAACACTCCGCTCCGAAACGAGCCCGCCCACCTCCACCACCGCCGCGCCCGAGACGGCCGCGCCAACAGAGCCGGTGGGACCAGAGCCGCCCAACACGGGTCGCAAGGCGCCGACGCAGCGGGGCGGCCTGGCCTCCTTCATCTCCAAGGGCACGGCGGAGCGACCGTCGCGGCCGGGTCTGTCCTCCCTGATCGAGCGGCTGCGCGGCCGCACCTCCACCACGGCGAGGCCGGAGCCGGGCAGCCGCGAGGGCAAGGCGCTGCGTGCCGACAGCGAAGCTCAGCAGACGACCGTCGTTGACGAGGACGTGTCTCGCTTCCTTCCGCCCGGCTTCCGGCCGGTGAAAGACAGCGTGGAGACAACGACCATACGAAACGAGGATGGGCTGGTCATCATTGAGGAGGACATCAATCCCGACCTGCTTCCGGAGGGGTTCAAGAACAAGGTGCGACAGGACCTTGAGAACTCGGGCGCCGAGCCGAAGCTCACGCCGCCGCCCATCACCTCCACGGCCAGGCCCAAAGTTCAGGTGGAGAAGGTGGAGGACCTCTCGGCCTTCTTGCCGCCCGGGTTCCAGCTGGAGTCTGTGAGTACCACTTCATCCAAGAAAAAGCCTGCTGCCATCGAAGAGGATGTCTCGGCATTCCTCCCGCCGGGCTACAAGGCGCCGGAAACGACCACGGAGCGTTCTCGTGCTCCGATAGTCGCCATTGAAGAGGATGTGTCAGCCTTCCTCCCACCCGGTTACAAACCCCCAGAGACGACGACAACAGAGCGTACTCGATCCCGTGAGCCGATAGTCGCCATCGAAGAGGACGTGTCAGCCTTCCTGCCACCCGGATACAAGCCTCCCGAAACTTCGACCACGGAGCGCAGTCGCTCACGTGCGCCGATAGTCGCCATCGAAGAGGACGTGTCAGCCTTCCTGCCACCCGGGTACAAGCCTCCCGAAACTTCGACCACGGAGCGCAGTCGCTCACGTGCGCCGATAGTCGCCATCGAAGAGGACGTGTCAGCCTTCCTGCCACCCGGGTACAAGCCTCCCGAAACTTCGACCTCGGAGCGCAGTCGCTCACGTGCGCCGATAGTCGCCATCGAAGAGGACGTGTCAGCCTTCCTGCCACCCGGGTACAAGCCTCCCGAAACTTCGACCACGGAGCGCAGTCGCTCACGTGCGCCGATAGTCGCCATCGAAGAGGATGTGTCAGCCTTCCTGCCACCCGGGTACAAGCCTCCCGAAACTTCGACCACGGAGCGCAGTCGCTCACGTGCGCCGATAGTCGCCACCGAAGAGGACGTGTCAGCCTTCCTGCCGCCAGGCTATAAGCCGCCCGGCCCCTCGGATGCTGAGGAGACGACCACCAGTACCACAGCGGCGCCCAAACGCAAGTCGGCTGGCATCGTGTTCCCCTCGAGAGCGGGCGTCTCGCGCACCGTTGAAAGGAAACCGCTGGACCTGTTCATCCCGGGCAAGGTCAGCTCCACGGCTATACCGCCGCTGGAGTTCAAATATGAGCAGTCCGAGAAGGGCCTGTTCTCGCTACTTGGTAATAGGTGAGTATCCGAGACGTCGGTGCGGAAAACGCGCTGTAGTTGTCTATGTCGGAGAGAATCTGGTCATCCCCGTGAGGCGCATCGCGACCACTAGAAGTAGCACAACGTTTATTAAATGTGCTAATTTACAGCTGAGGAATCCTAAATTTCTCTGTGGAATAGTGTGATGACCCTGAAGCCGAAAACTGACGAGATAGCAGATGCATCTCAAGTAGCCAGGGGCGCTGGTGGCTCAAATCCCCCCATGAACGATAGTTTAGTTTTCATGACGCAGTGACAGATCCTTGGATTGCTGAAAGAGCTCGGCAACATTTGGGGAGAAAATCTTCAAACTACTGTGAAGTGGGAGTTAAATGACCAGCATTTAGTGCAGTGATGGTGGTCGCAACACTTTCGACCTCATTTGAAGCAAATAACAAAATATTGTGTGTGAAGGATGAATATGTCCGCCCAAACCGAACTCGTGCCAAGATAACGTATTTCATACGACAGCGTGGCAACATTAAAAAATGCGTGAAACCTACCAAATTTGGCATTTTCTCAGCCCAAGACAAGACAGGGCACAACGTCAGTCCGACGCTTATTGGCTACTGTGTGTGGGTGAACTTGGAAGATGCAGTTGTGTTTATTTTCTTAACCCGGACGGCGCCGACGTAACCGCTCGCTGTTCTACCACAGGCCCAAGTTCACCGTCGGGACAAATCCCACCGTCCCTTCAACGGCGGCCACCACACCGGAGTCGTCAGCCTCGTCGACGCCGGCCCAGACCACGGTCGCCACCACCACCACGACCACCACCACGACCACCACCACACGCGTGCCGACCACGCCTGGCGTGTGCGCCTCCAACTGCCGGATGGCCAGCTCGGTGCGGATCCTGGAGGGCCTGCGGTGGCGGCCGGAGCTGGCCATCCGGGGCACCGAGGCCTGGGATGACGCCGCCGAGCTGCTCACCCTCGAGGTCAGTGGCCAGCGGTCGGTGCAGAGCTAGGGCGGCGCCGCGCCGAGCCCGGACCGCCCACCGACGGAGTTATGTGCCTGTCACCGGACCGCGTTCGATGCCACAAAACGTGCGGTGCGCTGTTCAGTCGATCACTCTTTAGAAAACAACATGCTGCCAGCAGAGCGTGCTGCACCGCTGCTCTGCTTCCGTCGCTTGTCAGATGGTGGCCGCTGCGGGACGCCAGGAATGGTTCAGCTCGTTCGCTGGTGGACAAGAATCATTGTTTGACGTTTGTTGTCACGGAGCGCTGTTTATTTAGACAACACCTGATTCATCGGTCACCATATGGGGCTGCAAGCGTTATGCCTGATTCGGTACCATGCACATAAAACTATTAAACAGCGTCAAATCACCGCTCTCACGACATTGTTCTCACTATGTACTCACGCTTTGTACTAACAACATGACTCAGACAGTATCTATAAAAAAAATTCCTTTTCGCTCTTGGAAAAGTCCGTTGTAGCATCGCTATTTGCTGTCATATTTTGTATAGCGTTCCGTCATCGTTGTGAGGCGTTGGGTTAAGGCACTACCTGGTGTAGGCGTTGTTGCACGGCCCCTGGGCGTAGCAGCAGGCACAGGCTGGAACTGCAGTACAGTTCACTGGATGGCGCCGTGACTTGTCGCCAAAGCACTGGCGTTGGGGCGGCCGGCCACGTCAGCGGCAGCTGCGATCCAGCCTGGTGCCGGTCGTGATGGGGCGCCGGCCAGTGGGCTCCGGTCAGCTGTCGGACCGATTGCAGCCGCAGCAGTCACCGCTGTATCGGCCCGGCCGCCATCAATCTGGCTGCCGCCGCCGGCGCCGCGCTGGCCGCCGTGGCACCGGCCGTGGGACCCGCCGTGGGACCCGCCGCGGCACCGGGCGGCCAGGGTCGGCGGCCCGGTGGCTGGCGCGACGCCGCACCGGGAGCCGGGCGCGGCGCGTTGTCTGGCTGCGTTTGATCGGCCGGTTCGCGGCCGGTCGATGGGGCGGGACCACTGATAGCGACGTCTTGTGCGGGGTCGGTCCTCCGGTCGATAGGCGATGCCGTGGGCGGACACCCTCTCGCGGCGTCATTTCCGGTTCCGGCCGACGAACGCGCTGGGCGTGATCATGCCGTGTCCGTCGGCTGACTGTCTCGGCGCCGTTCGAGATCCTGTCATTTCCACTCTAATGAAACCCAACTCATGACGTGATTGTCTCACCAGACGCCCGAAAGGATGGTGTTCGGTGACTTCGGGCCCGGAATCCGCTCGCGAACAGCACCTCCAGTGATGGCGCCCGTTGATCACGTGCGTTTGCTGCAAGATTCACATGTCGGCTTTTCATTTAGGTACGCCACGAACAAGTGCAATCGAGGTACTGGCGCGCGATCACACGCGCACATGGGTAGCGTTAGTCGCGCGTAGAGCGAGCCGCAAGTCCCAGCTCGATTGGCTTGGTCGGCAGCATTACCCGTTTCACTCCGCTTAAAATTCCGGGGCGCGATGGTCGACGCCAAGCCTGTTCAACAATCCCACGCCCCGGCAGAGGGGTTCTCGGGGTTAGGGGAGGGGGTCGGACGTCATCCATCCGCTGTCAGCCCTGCAAGCGGTGGTGGGTTACCATCAGCCAACAGCCAGGGCGGTCTGGCACTCAGCCGCCCTTTTGTGTTCCAAATGGACGTTTTGCTGGCGCCGACGCTGCGCCATCGGGGTCCCAATCGGCACATCGAGCGCACCGAGTGTGCCGGCCTGTTGCGGGCCCGAGAGCTACCTGGGTCGAACTCCACTCATCTCCGCCTGTCGATCACCAGGATCAGAGAGGAGGATGCTGCTTAATTACCTGGCTGGCAGTGTTAGCTTTAGTCATGGAAGTTTACGGTTGCGAACGTCCACTTTCAGCTGGTTATGCTGTCGAAAGGATATTCTTATACAATCTTAGGACTATGGAAATCCCATGTGGAGTACCTGGGGAAAATATTCGCACTTGCACTCAATACAGGGTTGTCGTTATAGACGTGTGCACGCTATGCTATATGCTATCTGAGAGTATCTGATCGCTTACTTGTACAGGCATAATTTAGGACACACAAGATACCTTTTAACGTACAACTAATAACTGATCAAACAGCCTGTCAAATGTTTCAGTCTGACGTGGCATGCAACGTCATCAGTGGCATGGGGTTATGAGAAACATGATTTATCGGTACCAAAATCCAGAGGCATCAATTGCAATTTTAAGCGGAGAAATAACTTCATGGGTTCCTGAAGTAAGTATGAACAAATCCTCTCCCCTCGTAGTCCACGGGCAACTAGATGTTTCATTTAGCATCGGATTGAATGAGGTGTGCTGTCAACTCTGTAGCTTGCCAGATGTCATGCCTACGTTGAAACTTTCGGCTTTCCGGCTGTCTGGAGCTGACTGCTCTTCTGTCACAAACAACTCAAGAGATCACCCCGGCCGTAGTCGCTACGCCTCTCAGTGCTCGAGGGCCGCAGCCTCGGGCTCATTATTCCGTACGGCGCCGGCACCGACCGCTGGCGGTCTGGAGCAGCGTCGCCGAGCCGGCTCAAACTCGTGATTTTCGCCGTCATCTCTTGGGGCTCTTCCCTCCCTCTCCCCTGCCATACCCTGGCTCTGTCTTGGGCCAGTCTCCCCTCGGCATCCCCCGGGGCTGCTGTCCGTGCGCCAGCCGCGCGCCGTCACTGGCGGCGCCCACGGTCCATTCGCCGCGGTGGTGAAACGCAGTCGGACCTTGACCGAACGCGGCTGGGGCACCGAACCGGTGCGCCAGCCGTTACTCCGGCCGCCAGCTGACGCTCACTACAGCTGACCTGTCGGCGCGGCCGCGGCCCGCAGCTGACCAGTCGGCGCGATCGCGGCCCACAGCTGACTAGTCGGCGCGGCCGTGGCCCGCAGCTGGCTAGTCGGCGCGGCCGCGGCCCACAGCTGACCAGTCGGAGCGGCCGCGGCCCACAACTGACCAGTCGGAGTGGCCGCGGCCCACAGCTGACCAGTCGGCGCGGCCGCGGCCCACAGCTGACCCGTCGGCGCGGCCGCGGCCCACAGCTGACCAGGCGACGCGGCCGCGGCCCACAGCTGACCAGTCGGCGCGGCCGCGGCCCAAACGGCCGTCCCGGCTTATTGTGTTGACCAGCGCCAATGACCGGTGGCGCACGATTGTCTCCCCGTTCGATGTGGTCGGTCCTGATGGCCGCTGCCGTGGTGCAGGCGGCAGCGCTTCCAGTCCGACCAATGGACAGCAGATTCACGGTCGACGATGATCTCGGACAGCTGAACTGGGATTTTGCACACCTGAGCTCGAACACCATGACCATTATGTGCGCAAATATCCCATACCGATGACCGACTCTTGAAGCGTTTTAACGCCGCTGACCACGTCACACCATACCGTACCATAACATGCTATACGGTATCAATCAGCCATACCACACTATTCCATACCAGATCATGCCGCACCTTACCATACCATGATCAAAACCGGTCCCGCCCATTGATAAGTGATCCGTGGCGCCTTCAGCAGCGACACACGTGTACTTAGTTTCGCCGGCGGTTGCACACGTTGACCCACCGCCCCGGCGCTGACAGTGCCCCCCCCCCCCTTTGGCGGCCGCATGCGTTGTCCCACCGCCCCGACGCTGACAGTGACCCCATCGTTGGTGGCTGCACACGTTGTCCCACCGCCTCGACGCTGACAGTGGCCTGTCGTCCACAGCTCACCGAGGCGTTCCAGGCTTCGCCGCTTTCCGTCTGGTTTGACCGGGTCGTCATCGACTCATTCAGGTAAGCTTCAGCGGCGTCATGCCCTCTGGCCCTTCCCGTCCCGTGACCCGCGGACGAAGACGAGTGAGGCGCCCCCCCCCCCCCCCCTGACTGTGGCACGCTTATGCAGAGGGAAGTCGGCATAGCAGTTTCTCTGCCGGCATTTTAAGAGTAGACCGGTGTCCACCCACCACCATGTGATTTGATATTGAAGTGTTTTTGAAAGATGGGACGACTGGCGGGACGTGCTGTTAGTCATTGCGGGACACGAGATGAGCTGGCCATTGCCTGAGGCATAACCTAAGCGGTACAGATGTTGAACAAATATGTACATCTGATGCGATGCTGCCCTGAGCCATCACGATGTATGATGCGGCGTGGAGCGGACGAAATGGTAGATGACGGAAGGTATCTGTCTTATCATGTGGATGATACCAATATCTAAGTTCATGCTGCCCCGTACGTGGTGAAGCTAGTACAAATGGCTTTGATCAACGCACGATAAAATCAGCCTTCCGTGAGAGTCTACCATGCAGAAGTTGGCTGGTGCAGCAATCGCGCGCCAGTTCACAAATCACATTGCTTGGAGATTGGCTGGCTTCGGGTCTGAGCATGCCAGGCAATTTCAGTCGACGCAACTAATCAGTTTAGATGTTGGTCGCAGTGAACAGGATTGTAGACCGAGTAATTCTTGTAGCCCAATCACTCTCGGATCGACTGAGTCCGTTAGTGATCAAAACGCTTGGTGATCTGTGGGGTTAGCACATACTGTGGCCTGCACTGTGCACTTGGTTCCAGTCTTTAAAAGCCTGCCTTTATTTTTTAATATTTCAAATTGAGTGCTCCAAGTAATTACTTGTACAGTAGTGTTGTTAGTCTAAAATGGGGTTTAACTTGAATTGCAGACTTCAGGGCTTTGAGTTCAAAATACGAACCTTTGATGGCTTTTCAACTAATTTTCAATTCAGGCCTTTGATGAAATAGATGAATCCGACTGTGCTGTGGGGCTCAACCCACTGTTGACGAAAACTGAGTTGAAACCTGTTCCGATCCTGGCCTTTCGGGTTTGTGAGTCCCGATTCCCGACTGATGAACATGTGCTAAATGCCAGTCAAGGAACAGTAACACCCCTGATGGTGCTCAACTGACGTAGATTCGAGAGCAGTTTTTTGAGCGCCCTCCGTGTCCGTTTATCTAGCCGCGGCACCGTGTCGGTGGTGACGTCACGGCCGCCGAATATCGGTGATGACGTCACGGTCTGCCGGATGTCCCGCCGCTGGCCTCCGGCTTCGGATGGGGATCAAGGTGCCGGTGAGAGCAGTGACTCACGCTGCGGGGGCCGCCAGCATGCGCGGCGGTCGGACCGCACCCCGCGCCGTTCCCAGCCGGTGGGGGGGGGGGGGGCGGGGGAGGGCTGACAGGCCCAGTCATGTGTGGCAACTTATGATGACGTCACTGGTGGGAAACACCGCTTGTAACTGCCCACGCTGTCGGGGGTGATAATGTTTCTGCGATGTCGGCACTTATCGTGAGGGACGTTATTGAGTAAAACTGACAGTAATGAATATTTGGGCCACTCCAAAAACCAGCTAGTGCCGAATGCTCCCCACCACACATTCTAACCTACAGGTAGATCGGAAAAGCGGTGTCCGAACGAAGACCCGGGACATTTTTAATTGACAGCGTTGTATGATATTCCTTGGCGGCATAGACCGTGTACAAGAACAATCAAAACAATAAAAGTGTGAGTAGCATGACGCGTATTTCACGAATGCGTTGCATAGCTTCGACCTTTGGATTTCTGTTCTTCACCGTTTCAGCGCTTGACCTTGTGACATTTACATCACCTGCATGATAAGATAACGGTACATACGCATATATCGCCTTAGGTTCAATCTTGATAAATCCGACCGTGCCGTGCGACTTATCCCATTTTTTATGAAAAGGGAAGTGGGGCCTGTTCCGTTCCCGGCCCTTTGACGTTTGGTTAGGACTAAAACCTCCACTCATCCTCCGCCGTTCACAATGATGCGGCACTTGTCATCTGCCCGCGTCGTTACAGCACTTTTGCGAGTTACAAGTGCAACTGTAACTGTAGCCATCATGAGTTACAGTTACAGCATTAGCGAGATTCGTGGCATTCCCCAGTAACTGGCCGATCGGCCGGTAAGGCGATCGTTTCGTATTGCACGCTACCCACCGGCTGTCGGCGGCTGAGCGGCCGTGTATGCTGGGCCCGAGCGGCTCTGGCTGACACCGGCCGGCAGCCGTGTATGCTGGGCCCGAGCGGCTCTGGCTGACACCGGCCGGCAGCCGTGTATGTTGGGCCCGAGCGGCTCTGGCTGGTACCGGCCGGCAGCCGTGTATGCTGGGCCCGAGCGGCTCTGGCTGACACCGGCCGGCAGCCGTGTATGCTGGGCCCGAGCGGCTCTGGCTGGCACCGGCCGGCAGCTGTGTAAGTTGGGCCTGAGCGGCTCTGGCTGGCACCGGCCGGCAGCCGTGTATGTTGGGCCCGAGCGGCTCTGGCTGGCACCGGCCGGCAGCTGTGTATGTTGGGCCCGAGCGGCCCTGGCTGGCACCGGCCGGCAGCCGTGTATGTTGGGCCCGAGCGGCTCTGGCTGGCACCGGCCAGCAGCCGTGTATGCTGGGCCCGAGCGGCTCTGGCTGGCACCGGCCGGCAGCTTTGTATGTTGGGCCCGAGCGGCTCTCGCTGGCGTCGGCCGGCAGCTGTGTATGTTGGGCCCGAGCGGCTCTGGCTGGCACCGGCCGGCAGCCGTGTATGCTGGGCCCGAGGGGCTCTGACTGGCACAGGCTGGCAGCCGTGTATGCTGGGCTCGGGCGGTTCTGGCTGGCACCGGCCGGCAGCCGTGTATGTTGCGCCCGAGCGGCTCTAGCTGGCATCAGCCGGCAGCCGTGTACGCTGGGCCCGAGCGGCTCTGGCTGGCATCAGCCGGCAGCAGTCTCGAGCGACAGAGGGGTCGGCCGGTACTGGGTCCGAATAGACCTGATAGCTCCTGGCCGATGGCGGCAGGAGATTGGCATTAGTTTTGGGTTGGGGTTTTGCATGAAACATGTTGGGTCTTAACAAGGACAGAGATGTGAACTGCACCGAATTATCTCCAAAATGTCTATTTCAGTCTGGAACCCCGCACAAACGTGGAGCATTCCTTTTCATTTTCAACTTTAATGCCGGACTTTGGATAGTATGCCCGTAAAAAGCTTAAAGTAATGCTTTGAAGTTGAATTTTTGAGTTTTGGGAAAAAGGCAATTTAATTCAACAAAAGCTCGCTCCGGAACTGTATCCGGAGTTGAAGCACAGTGCATTGTGCAGTGATAGTGTCATGCTTGATCACCAGATCCGAAGTGGCAACATCACAAAGACGAAAGGTTCACAACTAGACTTCAAAACCTGGAAAATCAGCCATTTGTTCGACGCGCACCTAACGTTTTTCAGTGTTTGCAGAATTTTTCGAATTATTTTGCGCAATCTTCTCAACTCCGACTATTTCATACGAATATGAGGCGATCAAAGTTACTGATGCAATGCGACAAACATGTTCGGATTTATCACCAGATCAACACTATGTTTACGCAGCTGAAACTTTCACAGCTAGATGCAGAGGATCAGCTAGCCTCAATAACGCATTTCCATCTGAATATCCGTCTTTTTCAGTGGTGATGAAGGTGCTCCTTTCCCACTCACCAGCCGATTTGTGGACATCGCCCCAGCCGGCTGCCCTCAAGGACTTTCGTCCGTCAAATCTGGAATCGCGATGCAGAAGCCCGGGGAAACTGCCACCGCTTAATCCCACCAATTGTGTTACCCAACAAGAATACCAGTCGGCCTGCATTGTCTTTCCAGTCCAATCACCAGCGGCCCGTTCTACAGTGGTGGCCTTGAGAAGCGGCAGGGGTGGTCGAGCCAGGCCGCTAGAGGGCCCTTGGGCGGTTCTCAGGGCGACAGCTCCGATTACGGCGGAGCCGCCTCTGATTGCCATTAGTGTCGCGCACGAGCTGGGCGACGCCGCCTGTCAAGCGATAGACGGGCGGGCGTTGCAGGGCGCCATTGTTGCGCACGGCCGGGTCAGCGCCGGGTCATGGCCCATCGTAGACGTGTGCGGCTGAGCGGCCGTGAATGTTGGCCCGAGCGGCACTGGCTGGCACCGGCCGGCAGCCGTGCATGTTGGGCCCGAGCGGCTCTGGCTGGCACCGGCCGGCAGCCGTGTATGTTAGGCCCGAGCGGCTCTGGCTCGCACCGGCCGGCAGCCGTGTATGCTGGGCCCGAGCGGCTCTGGCTAGCACCGGCCGGCAGCTGTGTATGCTGGGTCCGAGCGGCTCTGACTGGCACCGGCCGGCAGCCGTGTATGCTGGGCCCGAGCGGCTCTGGCTGACGTCGGCCGGCAGCAAACTCGAACTACAGAGGGGTCGGCCGGTACTGGGTCCGAATAGCCCTGATAGCTCCTGGCCGATGGCGACAAAAGAGCGTTGCCATGAGTCGGATAAGAACACCAGCTGAGAACTGAGAACACCAGCGGCGCGACGGCGCCGGCTGCACACGGCTCCGCCGACCTCTGCAGTCTGGAGTCGGCAGTCCCAGCTGCTGTGGTGAGACATGGCGATTTAGACAGAATCCGGCTGCATAGGAGGTTTTCTCATGCTGAGGCCACGTCTCAGTCTGACGTTACCCAATCTCAGGAGCACGATACGATCAGATTAAATCCTGACATGAGTATCACGGCACAGCCTAGTAAAGAGCGTGCAGCAACGGCATCGTGGCAAGTTTTTTGTCTTAAGTGTCATTTTTTGCCTCACATTAGGTTGTTGGTTCTGGATTAACCGGTTTCATTCGTTGGCACCGTACTTTTGGTGAATAAAGCCTTAGACTTGCCCATGAAAACGACATGGGGTACTGACCGCTTGCTCGGCAGAGCCTTATTATTTATTATTTATTTAAAAGCTAAGTCAACAAGGTTGACGGCAGAAAATCTCCCGAATAATCTGCATATGGCTTTATTGGTACCCTGGGCAGACTGTACGTCAGGTAAAGATGTTGGGCTCGCACGGCCAGTGCCCTGTAGGACGAATACGCTGACGCTTCGGTGATGTCATCTCACTTGTGTGCAGACCATCCGACCACAAGCTGCACTGTAGTGTTCAACAACCTTGTTATGAAACCCCCAGCACATGATAAAGATGGTTAAAAACGGTTAAGTACCGTGCAGATTTTCTCAACAGTGCTTAAGGTCGACAGCCGACAGCTGTCCTGTTGTTGCTCTGCTGGTCTATCTGCATTTCTGCCGTCGTGGGGTCACGAAGTTGTCGGACGCCATCTCGCATGCAGTCGTGGCAGGTCTGCAAAATCCTGCCATGCTCTTCAAATCTGTCGACGCTAGCCTCTTCTGACGCCTGCATATCCCACCTCCTCGCTCCACCCACCTCGGGATCACGTGGGTGTTTCACGTTGGCCGATGTTGAAGCAGTCTGGGAATAACCAGTCCCCAGATGTTGGGGTCATGGTTCATTCACGCGTCGGTACGAGTGCACGCATGTGACCCCGCAGTGTCACAGCGTCACGTGCTGAGCGGCATGGCCGCTCCGCAGGACACCGTCAGTGATTGTGTGCATTGCATTCTATGAGTGGCTGGAGGTCAACATCCTGAAAGATATGCTCCCGCTGAGTGTGGAGAGCTGCTGTGATTAACGCGCGCCCGGATGGCCGGTTGAATGCCTTTGCTCCGGTGGGGTGGGGCAATTCGACCCCCTGAGATCCCAAAAATTAAGATAGCCAGAGGCACCAAACTCAAAGGGTTGGTTAGCCTGTATATGAATTCCCTCGTCAAGATTTGAGGCTCCTGGTTCATGACTCTGGGGTCAAATAAGGTCAAGCAAGATTAAGCTTCAGATTGGCGTCCCAAGTGCCCCCAGAAATCCACACGCAACCACCGTAAAACTAGATATATGTTCTAAACAAAAGGCTGATGGTGTTCAATAAAGATCAGTGACCTTTTTGGAGCATATAAAGTCATTGTGACCAAATACTACGGCATTGCTCCTATTTTGTCATTCGATTAAGAGTCTGAAATTATGTTAGGTGGTGTGCTCCTAAGAACAAAACGTTGGCCTAGATCATTTTGAGCCAGAGATCCACTCTAACGTTTAAAAAGTCCATGAAACATTCCCACCGCGGTCCCTGTCATTAACAAATAAGAAATGAGCACCAAAAAGTACTCCAAAACCGAGCTCTCGAGTAAGAAGCAGGTTACTTTTCACCTCGCTCTGACCTTCACAGCTGATCCTAGGTCAATGAAATTGGTTGAATTTCTAGGGTTTATTGATGCATTTCCCAAGAAACAACATCAAACATTATGGCTTCATTTAACACTCCGCTGTTGCATCGCATTGAGCGATTCTCTAGAAATGCCTTTTGCTGACAGCCATGGCCCGACTGCCCTGTCATAGCTCGGCGACCTTACAAGGTAGATTTGATTTTTTGGTATCAAAAGATCCGCTTTTCAATTCTCTATAGCTATGAGAAGTTTGGAGTGGTTGTATGGCACCGTTCGGAAATCATTTTGGAAAAACCTCCGGGGGGCCAATTTGACCCCCCCCCCCCACCGAGCGCGTGTTAAATCCCTGCAGGGCCGTCCCATGGTGAGACACCCACTGTCAGCCCCGTCCAGAATGTGACCACCTCTGACGCATCTTCCCTGCATTATTCCTCGCACTCTGTTGGAGCGCGTCATTACCTCTGGCGGATTCATCCAACGAAGTGATTCATTACAACTAGCGCATCACTCGGTCGGGTTGCGGCATTGCCTCTTGAATATCGTTCTGTCCTACTGGGTTATCGCCCTGGCTATTACCTTGTCGTAGTGCAGCATCGTCTGCAGAGTGTCAGTCTGTCGCAGTGTAGCATTGTCTCCGGAATGTCATTCTGTCGTAGTGGGTCATCGTCTCCGGAGTGTCATTCTGTCGTAATGGGTCATTGTCTCGGGAGTGTCATTCTGTCGTAATGGGTCATTGTCTCCGGAGTGTCACTCTGTCGTAGTGGGTCATCGTCTCCGGAGTGTCATTCTGTCGTAGTGGGTCATTGTCTCCGGAGTGTCATTCTGTCGCAGTGGGTCATCGCCTTCGGAGTGTCATCCTGTCGCATTATGTTCTCGTCTCCGGAGTGAAACGCTGTCGCAATGCGCCATCGTCTCCGAAGTGCTACTCCGTAGCAGTGTGAAATTGTCTCCGGAGTGTCACCCTGTCGTAGTGGGTCGTCTCCGGAGTGTCACACTGTCGCAGTGTGTCATCGTCTCTGGGGTGTCACTCTGCAATAGTGGGCTATCTTCTCTGGGGTGTCACTCTGTCGTAGTGGTTCATCGTCTCTGGAGTGTCACTCCGCAATAGTGAGTTATCGTCTCCGGAGTGTCACTCTGTCGCAGTGTGTCATCGTCTCCGGCGTGTCACACTGTGGTAGTGGGTTATCGCCCCCGTAGTGTCACTCTGCCGTAGCGAATCATCGCCTCTGGTGCAATACTCTGTCGGAGAGTGTCATCGACTCAAACCTGTCGCTCTGTCTCGGCGTGTCATTCACGTGCTCTCGGCGCCTCACGCTGTCGCAGTTCGTCATCGCCACCGGCGCGTCGCTCGGTCGGGTGTGTCCGGGTCGGTGGGTCGCCGCTCATCGTCGCCGATTGACGCGGCGGTCGACGCAATCTCCTCCCGTCCCCAGTGTCGCCGTCCGCCCTCCGTGGGCAGAGATGGCGAGTGCGGCGCCTAATTGCAATGCCGGCGCGATGATCGCACCGTGCCCCCCCCCCCCTCCCCGTCCCCCTCCTCCTCGACGAGGCTGAGAGGACGCACCGGCCACTCGAGACGCTCGTTATTTCTGCTTCTTTCGAAGCGCTGACGACACAGGCGTCGCCGCTTCGGAACATTGTTTTATCAGCGGCCGGGGCGTGCGTGGTTCCCCGGCGCCGAGTTGTCTTGTGCCCTAGCTGCGTCGCACCGCTACCGTTTTTATTTGTCTCCGTCACGCCTCGAGCTGACTGGCGGATGTCGTCAAGACGTCACAGTTAAGGATCTCCTGTTACGCATGTCACGGGCGCGGGGTGGCTGAGATAATCAGTTCGCTGACGGGACGGTGTCCTTCGCACGGCCGGGGATTTCATTTCGTTGGCACGTTCTAAACCGGCGGTCTGGTCGCCGATCGGCAACAGATGGCGCTGGCAGCCCGCAAGGACGACTGGTGTCAGGCGACTTTTTCATATTCCCGGTGTGTGGATTCGGCTCGACCAATAGCCCAGCCGACGGTGCAATGCGTAGGGAACCGCCGTGACCGCACCACGGACGTCTGGAGGTACCGATGCACGGTGATCGTTGGCACCTCACGCATGATTCGGACTAGAAACGCCGCACATTGGGCAGGGAAATGCGTTATGGGTGAGTGGCATCCTTGCAGCCAATAGCCCGGTGTGCGCGCGGTGTGAACAGCAGCGCGGCGACTGACACGGCTTTGGCACTTTCCAGTGAGGGAAGCGTCATAGCCGACTACTACCTGATCTTCAACAACCTGGTGGGCGAGCTCAACACCCAGGACGTAAACGTCCTGTTCCAAGAGAATCTTCCGGTGGCGAAGATGGACATGCCGGACGGATCTGAGCAGAAGGTGCTGCAAATGGGCAGCCTCTCCATCGATGCAGGGTTCAACGACTTCGTGGGTGAGTGAGGGTCTGGGCTCATCTGGGCTAGGCTGTTGAGTCTGTGGGCTGCTGCCGGACCCAGGGACGCCACTCGCGCGTGAGGCGTGAGTAGAGCCTACACATCATGTCATAGACCTGACGTGCAGCATGCACAAGGCCTGTCACAGGGTTTTACACTCGGCACGTGGTGTATCAAATTGACGCCTGATAGGTGTATTTGTGATTTTTAAGTTGGCAGAATGAAGTGACATGTCATGTGCATACTATTGACATTTCAAATAAGCTCGCTCTGATATACCCGTGTCCATGGAACAGCACTCGAGCAGGAATCGGATTTGCGCCGCATTGCCAAAGTTTGAACAAATGTGGTTAGTTTAGTCTGACGACCCTGCCAAAAGTTAGCGAGCTAATTTCTCCCAGAATAATAGCGCACTAAGCAGCGGCCCGTTTGTCCCGTCATATTTGGGCGAGCGCTTGATCACGTCGTTCCAGCCAGAGTTCCTTCGGGACCAATGCGGCCCGCGGCCCGTGTAGAACTATCCTGAAGTCGACAGGCGAGGTTGTGACGCCATCGTCCGGTATCGATTATGATGCCTCGGTAGTGTTTTACGGTCGCGTGTCTCGGAACGTGGCGTGACAATGCAATAGATCTGTACCGTCACAGACGCCAGGCCCGGGCCGGGCCCCGGCACCCTTCTGTCGCCTGCAGGCTCCGTTATCGACCACAATCGAGCGGGGCGGTGAGCAGGCAGACCTTCCCGACGTTGCTCGCTAAAATGAGACACGACCCAGTGCCATTTGTCTCGGACTGCGCGGCCTGTGTTTGTTTTCCTCGACTTCTGAGCAGCGGCGCTGTTTCCGGCGACATCTCGAACGCGACAGTCGGAGGTCGGCCATATATCGACGGCGGGTCTGAGTCAGACGGGCCGACCCTGCAGCCGGCATCGGCGCGCCACCCGACCCTACGACGAGCCGCGAGCGGCGGCGGCACGGCGGCGCGAGACCGCGTGCGGCTGATCGATGCCAATATGCCGCCGTGAATGGGCCGGTCATGTCGACGGGCCTCCCGGCGTGATCTGCGCCAATAGCCCGCTTGCGTCAGGATCCGGCCCAGGGGTTGACCGGTCACGCGGCACGGCTCAGGGGCTCGCCTGCGACAGGGCCCAGCCCGGGGGTTGACCGGTCACGCGGCACGGCTCAGGGGCTCGCCTGCGACAGGGCCCAGCCCGGGGGTTGACCGGTCGCCGCGCGGCTCTAAGGTCCGCCTGCGACAGGGCCCAGCCCGGGGGTTGACCGGTCACGCGGCACGGCTCAGGGGCTCGCCTGCGACAGGGCCCAGCCCGGGGGTTGACCGGTCACGCGGCACGGCTCAGGGGCTCGCCTGCGACAGGGCCCAGCCCGGGGGTTTGACCGGTCACGCGGCGCGGCTCAGGGGCTCGCTTGCGACAGGTCCCAGCCCAGGGTGTTGGACCGGTCACGCGGCGCGGCTCAGGGGCTCGCCTGCGACAGGTCCCAGCCCAGGGGTTGACCGGTCACGCGGCACGGCTCAGGGGCTCGCCTGCGACAGGGCCCAGCCCGGGGGTTGACCGGTCACGCGGCACGGCTCAGGGGCTCGCCTGCGACAGGGCCCAGCCCGGGGGTTGACCGGTCACGCGGCGCGGCTCAGGGCTCGCTTGCGACAGGTCCCAGCCCAGGGGTTGACCGGTCACGCGGCGCGGCTCAGGGGCTCGCCTGCGACAGGTCCCAGCCCAGGGGTTGACCGGTCACGCGGCACGGCTCAGGGGCTCGCCTGCGACAGGGCCCAGCCCGGGGGTTGACCGGTCACGCGGCACGGCTCAGGGGCTCGCCTGCGACAGGTCCCAGCCCGGGGGTTGACCGGTCACGCGGCACGGCTCAGGGGCTCGCCTGCGACAGGGCCCAGCCCGGGGGTTTGACCGGTCACGCGGCGCGGCTCTAAGGCCCGCCTGCGACAGGTCCCAGCCCGGGGGTTGACCGGTCACGCGGCACGGCTCAGGGGCTCGCCTGCGACAGGGCCCAGCCCGGGGGTTTGACCGGTCACGCGGCACGGCTCTAAGGCCCGCCTGCGACAGGTCCCAGCGCGGGGGTTGACCGGTCACGCGGCACGGCTCAGGGGCTCGCCTGCGACAGGGCCCAGCCCGGGGGTTGACCGGTCACGCGGCACGGCTCTAAGGCCCGCCTGCGACAGGTCCCAGCTCGGGGGTTGGCCGGGTTCACGCGGCACGGCTCAGGGGCTCGCCTGCGACAGGGCCCAGCCCGGGGGTTGACCGGTCGCGCCGCGCGGCGCTAAGGCCCGCCTGCGACAGGTCCCAGCCCGGGGGTTGACCGGTCACGCGGCGCGGCTCTGGGGCCAGCCTGCATCGGGGCCCGACCCGGGGTTGACCGGTCGCGCGGTGCGACTCTAAGGCCCGCCTGCGACAGGGCCCGGCCTGGGGGTTGATCGGTCGCGCGGCGCGACTGTGCGGCCCGGCTGCGCCAGGTTGCGCTTTTTCATTAGATTAGCTTGGCCCTCTGCGCTCTAGCGCGGCTGTGATTGCATGAATTTGACTACGTCAGATCGACGTTCTCGGTTCTGTCGGTTGCAACATTCAATATTTTGTTAAATTTTTAGCTGACAGGCCTGCGAGTCAGTCGCGAATACGCTCGTGATAAATTCAGCGCTGCGACGACAAACATCACCGCAAGCTGTGTCCTTTTCACCGTACGCGTACTTTTTTAGAAGCGAATAAAGATAGCTGCGCTATTTGTTAAGGCCCAGATAAGCAGCTGCCCGTATTGTACCTTTTGAGGGAAGTAATATTGCCTGTGGTTATCTGTGAAGCAATAGCGCGAGCAGTCATTTTGTAGAGTTACGATTTCGCCGCAATCAGCGCCATGTCCCTGGCCGAGACGTTTGACATCTCAGCCACCATTATATCCTAAAAGGATCGGCTGTTATCACATCCAGCCCAAACCATTGTCACGAATTCTGATTAAACGGATGTCCATGCCAGAGATGTATCTACCCATTAAGCTGTGTATTTTAGCTGTGCGTTAACACATATGTTACATAACATTACTTCCTCTCTGAGCCTAACTAGGTGCTCCACCAATGGTGTTCCAGCTGGCGTACTCCGACTGCATTTTTGTAATGCATTCAAGTGACAAAAACGGGAAATCCGGTTTTATGGCTTTGTTTCTGCTAAGTTTTGCAACTTTTTTTGCTTTGTGTCTTCCATAAGAAGAAACAAAAGACATCGATGCGTCGTCACCGATCACCAGAACGCTGATTTGATGTGACATGTCCTATTGTTCCGTACCTTAACTAGGAATCAACGCAAGTTCCGGGTCCGGCATTTTCATGCAACACCAAACGACTACCGTTTTATTCTCACGGAAAACGGGGCTACATGAAGCCTGCGATCACTCCCGTAGCATCGCCCATGGACCAACGCGAGCGCGCAGCGAAGCTAGAGAGCCGGCCCGGTGTGCGCTGGCTGGCAGAGGATCTGGAGAGCCGGCCCGGTGTGCGCTGGCTGTCAGAGGAGCTGGAGAGCCGGCCCGGTGTGCGCTGCCTGGCAGAGGAGCTGGAGAGCCAGCCCGGTGTGCGCTGGCTGGCATAGGAGCTGGAGAGCCAGCCCGGTGTGTGCTGGTTGGCAGTGGAAGCTGGAGAGCCAGCCCGGTGTGTGCTGCCTGGCAGAGGAGCTGAAGAGCCAGCCCAGTGCGCGCTGGCTGGCGGCGGAGCTGGGCAGGCAGTCCAGAGGCAGAGGGCGGGCTGTGGTCCGGCAGTCGGGCCGGTCCGCACCAGCAGCAGGTGTCAGCGCGCCGTCTTGTCCGCTCTGGTCAGCCTGGCGGTCCCAGACTGAGCCGTGTCTACCACCGACTGCAGCCCGTCTGCTGCTGACTCCATCTCGCTACGGTTAGCGACCGGCTCTCTCCCGAGTCAGTCAGCTACTGGCACCGTCACAGGTCCGCCAGCCTACGACCCTGTGCGGAGTCCTCAACTACTGATACCGTCACAGGTCCGCCAGCCTTCGGCCCTGTGCGGAGCCCTCAGCTACTGGTACCGTCACAGGTCCGCCAGCCTTCGGCCCTGTGCGGAGCCCTCAGCTGCTGGTACCGTCACAGGTCCGCCAGCCTTCGGCCCTGTGCGGAGCCCTCAGCTACTGGTACCGTCACGGGTCCGCCAGCCTTCGGCCCTGTGGCGGAGCCCTCAGCTACTGGCACCGTCACGGGTCCGCCAGCCTACGACCCTGTGCGGAGTCCTCAACTACTGGTACCGTCACGGGTCCGCCAGCCTTCGGCCCTGTGCGGAGTCCTCAACTACTGGTACCGTCACGGGTCCGCCAGCCTACGACCCTGTGCGGAGTCCTCAACTACTGGTACCGTCACGGGTCCGCCAGCCTACCGCCCTGTGCGGAGTCCTCAACTACTGGTACCGTCACGGGTCCGCCAGCCTACGACCCTGTGCGGAGCCCTCAGCTGCTGGCACCGTCACGGGTCCGCCAGCCTACCGCCCTGTGCGGAGTCCTCAACTACTGGTACCGTCACGGGTCCGCCAGCCTTCGGCCCTGTGCGGAGTCCTCAACTACTGGTACCGTCACGGGTCCGCCAGCCTTCGGCCCTGTGCGGAGTCCTCAACTACTGGTGCCGTCACAGGTCCGCCAGCCTTCGGCCCTGTGTGGAGCCCTCAGCTGCTGGCACCGTCACGGGTCCGCCAGCCTACGACCCTGTGCGGAGTCCTCAGCTACTGGTACCGTCACCGGTCCGCCAGCCAACAGCTCTCTGTCAGCCGACGGACCTCCTTCCGTCAGGGCCCGTCAGCTATCAGCAGATGGTCAACAGCTTTGTCGAACCTTGCTTGCTCAACTAAGGCGCTTTGGACGCATCGTCAGCACCCGAATTCCGGCACCGTCGGACACGAAAATATTTCGAAACCGTCGCAATCGGTTTAGCCTCACCATTTCTCGGACGTACCGTCGCCGCCTCCGTTGGCGTAACGCCGCTATCCCGCTGGCGCAGCGTCACCGTCTCCACCGGCGTGCCGTCACCACTCCCGCTGATGCAGCGTCTCCCGCTGGTGGCGGCTCTGTGCTGCCGGCGCCGGTCGTCGGGAGCAGGCTCAGCTCCCAGCGGCAGAGGCAGCCGATCGGCACCAGGGCGGCCGCGGCTGCCTCGCGGCTGCTGTGTTGGAGTTGTTGGACTTTTCGTTCGTTAATTTAACGTTGTTTTTTAGCAGTTTCGGCTTGCGTTTTCCACGCGATGAGCTTACGTCACACGCTTTGGTTTTGAATCCACTGTTTACGGAGTCCAGGCACACCTGCGCTGTCGTGGCCTCGGGAATAAGCCCGTTGGTTTACCTGTTAACGATGCGCAAACACCGAGCCCACCTTGGGCCCAGACGGAAGCAACACCACTTAACCATCATCACATGACATTGGCAGAATCGAATGCAGAATCTCATGGGCTCTCACGCGTGACCTCGAGAACTGAGCCAGCACCAAATCTCTTCCCCAGTTGGCTGCTTGACGCCTGATAATGGTCGCTGTCGATCGAGAGCTGTCTCAGCACGCAGCCTGTCAATGATCGATAAGGATATGTGTAGATCTGGCGTGTTTTTAGCTCAGAACAGCACGAGCCCAGCGGGACGCATTGCGTAGTGCGAGGCGAGCAAAGCGAAAACAGATGTAAGCGTTTTCAGCTTTATCCTGCAGTCGATGTCAGAAAATATAACGGAGCCAGTTACCTTCAGGTATTCGATTCCAGTGGGTTTAATCAAGGCGTTGGTCTACCTTTCATGAGAATTCAGCAGGCAAAGGTGCGCTGATGCAGCTGATGCAGCAGATGCTGCTAATTGACGAATGGTATTCCTTGAAACGTGGCTACCTATGAGTGGCTGTGAGACTCATTAGGCTTGGACATTTAACCCGCGAATTAAGAAAATGTGCGGTGATGCATGGTTTTGGCAACTGCGACCAAAATACCCACTATGAAAAAGCGAGGGTTTCCAGTGGCTATTGGTCACAACAAACAGGTCAATATGCCTGTGCAGTGTTTGGGCCCAATCCCTCTCGGGTATAGGGCATAGTGCTTGTACATGAGATCGGTCTCGGAAAAGGAAGCATTCGCCGCTCTCGGTCGATTACTAGCATGTCCATGTATGAGTTGGACGGTTTTAGGACCTGCTCGTGACTTGCAGCCGTACATTTTCCTACACCGTACTTTTGGTTTTACCTGTTCATCTATTCTGCTTGTCGAGATCTGACATGAATCCACAAACCTGTCCCAAAGCGCAGATCCATGTTCCATGCGCACGCCAGCGCGTGTCTGATCCGCACAGATCGACGCCCCACCTTCGCTGGTGCGCTGTCCGTTTTCTCCTCCGTTGGTCCCGTACCGCTGTGATGTTGGGCCGGCGAGATCTGGACCCGGCTTGGAGCCGCATTCTTCAGTCATTTCACAACCTGGAAACTTCTTGGTTTTTATGTTAGGAGGTGAGGTGGAGGGGAGGTGGGGGAGGTGAAATCGCGTCGATATTGCTATGTCGCAGGTAAAATAAGCCCGACCGGTTTGCACGGAAATGTTCAATAGCTTGCACAGCACACATTTTAAAAATTGCGCATTCCGCGCCAACAACTGCGTGAACTTGCGATCGGTAGCCACAAAAATATTAGCTTCTAGCAAGCGTGACAGCCGCACAGGGCCGCGTAATTTCCAAGCACGGCTTTCACGGCCAACGACCTCGCCTCTTTGGAAGCCCATGGCACCGTTAGCAGAACTGCTGCAATTTCAAGACAACCTGAAACCAGTTAAATATCCTTCTCAGTATTGGACGAGTAAGGAGACAATAGAGATTATTATTTCGCGTTAAATGTTACCCATTTAGATCATCTTGCAATACTTGATGCAGTCAGCCATTGTTCAGAATATCATTTTAATGAGTACCACGGTTTTTAAGCTCTATAACGACGATACTCGACATGAGAACATTTTTTTACGAGGTATTTATGCGTCTTGAAACTCATTCAAGATGTTGAAGTTATTGCAGTCAGTTGTACAGCCTGGGTGTGAGGTAAAGAGCACAAACGCACTTGCAGCACAAACTTTGATAATTTCCAATGCCTGTCCAAAGCAAAAACCGAGATAATTATTATTGGCACTTTTTGTTCCGATCTGGCAACCATTTATTTTCCAATGCAAACAGGGCTGTTGTCGCATTAGTGCATATCTGGGCTTGCGGCACAACAATTAGCTGCATAGTTTTGTCTTTTCGCCATCAACAATATCATGGCCGGCGAAGATAAGCACATTATGGTCAATGCGCTGATTGCTCGCAAATAACGAACTGCTCAAATTATAGTTCGCTTCGTTACGCTGTCCGCTGGCGGTCAAAATCAAGTGGTGTGCCTAATAAAGATCAAGTGGCACGTGATTTGTAGTTGTCGCCATCGAAGTGTGTACCTTGTGCCTGTACACCCTGTAATGGATGCATCTTGTAAATGGTGTGTAATTTGTTTCAAGTAGTTGTGCTGTTAAATGCTCCCATGGCCCCCGAGCGCTAACATGGTCAGTGCAGTCGCTGGGGCTCCGTAGTAGGGCGTGACGACGCGCGCTGCGTTCCTCAAAAAGATGCTGCGGACTGTACGTGATCGGCCTGACCTGGCCGGGTCATGGAAACTTAACTCACCTGACGAAGACAGGCTCAGCTTCGCCGGGAATCAGTGCCGTCAGTCTTAGGCTGGCACTGCCCAGATTTCAGCCAAGAAACGCAGGCGTGATATATACCAAAAACACTGTCGGTGAACTGCCAAGCGTGATATACCGTTTTTTACCGTTTTTTATATATACCGGTTTGCGGGTCGTGCATGGTCATAATTGGTTGTTTTATATCTCACTAGACACTACTGATCAGGTGATCATGTAAATGCTTCAGCCCACTTTCGAACCCTGGGCCACGCCGGCACCCCATTGTGAGGGCATTTGGGATTCGCATGTGATTGTGCGGGACGATTGCCGTGATAGTTACAACCTCCATCAATCTCGTGTCAGAGAGATGGACGACGACTCCGGATCAATGCCCAACAATGGCTATTTTCGAATCTTGCCTGGTAAACTTGCCATGCGTGTAGACATGCGGATGTTGATAGACTATCGCGATCGTGGAGTACATAAAACCCGATGCTGAGCAGTAGGCAGCATGCTAACAGTTTGTGAACGGTGTCTGTGTTGCAGTCCAAAAGCCCCAGCCTGTATTGGCCAAGGCGGAGGCGAACTACCTGATCCCAGAGTGGAGTATCGCCGTCATCGTCATCGGTCTCACCGCGCTCCTCTTCATGCTCATCTTTGGTATCGTGCTGGTGAGTGTTTTGGCACGGGGGCGGCTAACTGCTGCACTGAAGCCCACCCGCCCCTCTCCGAGATGGGATCACTTCACACAGGGCGGGTAACTGCTGTACTGAAGTCCACTCCACCTCTTCCCGAGATGAGATTACTCCACGCGGGGGTGGGTGACCGCTGTACTCAAGTCCACTCCACCTCTCCCCGAGATGAGATTACTCCACGCGGGGGCGGGTGACCGCTGTACTCAAGTCCACTCCACCTCTCCCCGAGATGACATCATTCCACCCGGAATCTGGCCTGCCGTCCCTCCGAGCCCAGGTCATCCTGCTTCCAAATGAGTTCAGTTGAGTTCCTGCAACCCAGACGAGTCTAGTCGAGCCCCTGAGTATCAGACGAGTCCGTTCAGCTCCGAAGCGACTCTGCTCAAGCCATCTCACTGCGCTTTCACCCATTCCAGCCTGCTCCGCCCCAATATCACAACGTGTTCGGCTCCTACATCCCCAGCTCAGTCCACTTCATTCACGATCTCAGCCCAGCTCAGCCCCAGCCCATTTCCAGTCACATCCACTCCGTCCGTAGCCCGTCCATTCCGTCCCACGCTCGTCCGATCTCCTCCCCGGCCTTACCCCCCCCCCCCCCCCCCCATCCAGGCTGGTGGCTCCCTCTGTCCTACCAGGGGCGGTTCACGGGCAGGACCAGCACACAGCGTGGAGAACCCGGTGGGGCGCACCAGACCTCTCAGCCCAGGCCAGCGGGGCAGCCCCTGCCGTTCCATTGGCCACCGGCTGAGAGAGGCTGATGTACGCTGGCGGGCTCACAGCGTGTGCAATAGCGGGCGGAACAACCTTGTTGCTTCCGTGTCGCCCCGCTCAGGTGAGCTGTCGGTGTGCTTTGAGAGTGTAATGGGATTGTTGGGCCGCGAACGAGCCGACTGGCGAGGACGTCTGCCATCGGCCGGACCCCGCGCCCGGTTTTGCTGCTTTATAGTGCTGCTGCGCAAATGCGATTGTCTCCGCGGCGTTGAAGGACGGCGTTTAACTGTCGTCTAAATCATCCTGCCGTAGCATTTCATGACTAGGCGAAAGTGTCCAGTAACGTGAGTCTTCGCAAACTCCACGGTTTCCTGAGCAAGTTTAAGTGAAAAAGAATGCAAGCTACCTCGCTGGCTGTCCTTTGATTCTTCGCGAAAAATGGATGCGGCGCGCTCTAACTCACGCATCGGCGTAACTTCACCCAGCCGAGCTCGACGTTAATCAGACGAGATTTAGTGCCAAAAGTCGACCGTAAATTTATCATCTGATCTACCCCAGCAGTCCTGGGACTCGGTGGCTCTCGTATGTGATTGGTGACGTATCTGCAGTGTGCGGGCTCGATACGCTATGAGGTCGCCCGGCCCAGTGCTACGCGAGGGAGCCGCTGCCACTGGCCCCCGCCGCTGGCCCGCAGCTAACCGTCGGGCGTGGTCAGCCTTGAACGGAACCTGCTGCCGTCCGAGAGTTCCGCGTTGATACGATCTGGCCGGTGCCAAGCGCCGGCTTCGTCACCGCGGCCGGCAGACGCCGCTTCACCCAGGCCGCATCACGCGGACGAGGCGTGACATCGGGCCGTGGCTCACGCAGATGGGGCGTGACATCAGGACGTGGCTCACGCAGATGGGGCGTGACGTCGGGCCGTGGCTCATGCAGACGGGGCGTGACATGGGACGATGGCTCACGCGTACGGGGTGTGACTTGGGGCACAGGGTCACGCAGACGGGGCGTGACATGCGGATGACTCACGCGGACGGGGCATGGCATGGGGCCATGGCTCATACGGACACGGCGTGACATGGGATCGTGCCTCACCCGGGCAGGGTGTGACGTGGGTTATGGTTTTCGCGGACTGGGCGTGTCATGGGGGCTTGGGTCACTCGGATGGGGCGTGACATGGGGCCTTGGTTCACGCAGACAGGATGTGACATGGGACGGTGGCTCAGGTGGACAGGGTGTGACATGGAATGGTGGCTAACGCGGACGGGGCGTGACATGGAATGGAGGCTAACGCGGACGGGGTGTGACATGGAATGGTGGCTAACGCGGGCGGGGCGTGACATGGAATGGTCGCTCACGTGGACGAGTCGTATCATGGGGCCGTGGCTCACTAGGATGGGGCGACAAGTGGAACGAGGCCTCACATGGGGAGATTTAAGATGTCCCCACTCGGGATGGCCTGTCGTTTTACACTGCCAGACACATCCTGCGCTTGCATGGTATGACTGCCAGGTTGTTTCTATGTATATTCTATAAACTATCATTCGGGGTGTTTTCAAAGGAGAAGAAATAGCACCATCTGTTCCTTAAATGTTCCGAAAATGTTCAACGCCGCGCAATAAATTTGTTGTGTCTTTTAAGGCAGTGTTTTACATTTGTATATAGTTTTGAGCCGAAACAAACATTTTGAAGGTCTGAAAACAAACATTTTCTGGCCATGCGCCCGCGAAGATGTGCAGATTTGTTTCGTGCAAATTATTTCAAGGCTACCCAGGCGTGCATGACGTCATAGCAACGTCATGCAAATGCTGCCAGCTCACAGTCCAGGCGGCGTTCAAAACTAGGAAAATATTATCCTCCAGCCGTTCAGATCTGGCGTCCGTGAGCGAGATTTCCAATTAAAGTGTATATCGATTGGCTCTCCACAATGCTGAGCAAGCTGTACAAGCGTCAATCACGAACCTCGTTTTGGGCTAAATTCTATATATATATATATATATATATATATATATATATCAAAGCTCGGTTAGACATGGCTTCCTAAGTTGCTGGCTATTATGGAAATAAGACTTGTAATCGAGTGAATTAAGAATAGCGTCATAACCGAGAATAGCAATGCCAGTAAGCATCTTAAACTTACGAATAATTATGCAAGAACACCACGAGAAAAGACCAAAACATGAGCACATAACAATATTTGGCTCAGCGAACAGTGCCAACCCGTGCTGCCATCTTTCGATGAGTTTGAAGTACTATAAGTAAGTGGCAATTTAGCACGGCCAGTTTGACGGTATCTCCACGTCATACAAACGGTCTATGATGCAATTAAACATTCACTTATTGAGGAGCATATTTATTAAATAGATAAATTTTGGTGCCAAGAGTAATCTTTTTCACTTAAAGTATACGAATAGTTAAAAGTGAGTATGTTTCCATTTATCTGATGTTTACTTAAATGCCTTCAAATGGGGAGCATTCCCTATAGCATAAGTTTGGACGTTTCTCTAAATACGCGATTTTATCATCTTTCATGCACACACTTACTAATACATGAATTAGCTTCTCTCATGATGAAACACTTTCTGACTCCATCTTCCTTCCTCACTTTCAGTGCGTTTCTGCCCGTGTGAGCTCTTTGTAATGGGCCGGTGGTGGTCTGCTCGGTGATGTTCATGATATATAGTATTATATTGAACCGTGCTTAGGTCACTTCATGCGCTGGATCCTCGCAAGCTCTGCCCAGTGGCGAAAAAAAACAAAAGGATTTGATGGCTTCTCTAAAAACTAAGACAACGTCTATATAGATGAGAACGAACATTCCCTGGCCAAGCGCGTACAAAATGTCAATTTTTTTCTTAAACCACTCCATCTGACCGATAAATTAACACGAACACACATCCACTGATTTACGTTCTGCAGTCCATTTCACCGTTTGATAGCTTTTTTCCGGCACCCCTGTAGACGGGCTCCTGAGGTGGCCGAGCCAGCGTGGGTCCCGTCGGTCGGTATGGCCACCACTCCGGGAGAAAGCTGGCCAGCTCGGGTCACACGCCTGGCACGGCATAGCGTGGCCGCCGGACCGCCGGTTACCGCTCCCACAGCTGGTCAACACGCCGGATGGCCAGACCGCCAGCCTTGAGCGTGCCGAGTCGCCCGCCGACAGCCGGCGGGTGGCAGCGAGCCGGCCACACGCGGACGTTCGCTGTCAGCGTCGCCGACGGCCGGGTGCGGCCTCGCCGACCCCGCCCCAGCCGCGCCGTCGCTGTCGTGCTGCCCCCGTTCCGGAGATGTGTACACGTCCGCGGCGTCGCGCCGGTAAAAAGTGGTGGCGCCGTCATGGCATCCATGCAGCTGACAGCCGGCGACCTCTGCCGATGCGGCTGAACCACGAGCCGGCAGCTGGTGACTTCTGGCGACGCGGCTGGACTTGTTATCATGCTAATCCAGAACCCCTGCCTCTCCCTCCCCACCACGGCAGGCGGCTCCTCGGAGTTCAGCTCGAAAGCAGAACTCCTTCGAGAAAATAGGCTAATCAGCTGGCATAACTTCTAGTCGGAACGGTTTCAGACTCGGCGGAAACGTTATCGTCAACGCTGAAGTACGCAGATAGATGCGCTCTGATTTCCGCTTCTCAGAGCAGCTCTATTGCTTCCTGGCGGTTGCCATGGCGGCGATTAGCGCTTCGCTGCGGCCGGCAGCTCGGTCTGGGTGTGCGATGAGCCGTGCTTTTCTCAGACCTTTGCTGAGGGCCTGAGTCTGACGGGGGACCTCGATGGCAGGCGGCGTGCACGGAACGAGGTGGCCCTGGGGACCTCCAGCAGCGGGCGCCATTAGCGCCGCGCTCGCGGAGGCCAAGTGGGCGGAGAGTGGCGTCGTGCGCTCGGCCCCGGCGGACCGTGGCACCCGCTGACAGCTGCAAATGGTGCGAGACCGGGCCTAGCGCCGGTCCGCCCCACCACCAGCCGGCAGCGCCGACCCCGGCCCAACTCTGTTCACGTTATGGCGGATATGGATCTGTCTGATCGGGCCAGCCAGTCGGTTGATCGGCCAGCTGAGCTGTCCGTCGGCCCGCGGCTCTGTGGCCCTCGGCCTGGCAGTGGTGCGCCCCGCCCGGCGGCAGGCCGCTCGACACAGGCCCGGCCCGGCAGCGCCGCTGCCGTGACGACGCTGGCCAGCGCTCTCTGACGACGCCTGAGCAAACTTGGAGGGCTGTAGACAGTGTCGAACCGGTCCAGAGGGCCAATTGAGCTCATCCCATTCGGTGAGGAGCTGCTCGAAAAGTTGGCGCCGCCCTCGGTGGCAGCTTCGCTGCGCGTCTCTTCCCAAAAGCCGGCGTGGGCTCAATAGATTGAGGAACGGCAACCCTCGTCCGAGATAGTGTTCCTTGGGGCGTAGATTGCTTGTCCCGGACGGCTGATGTGTGGCGAGTGAAACTGTCTGCTTCAGAAAAGGGCTTAGCTGAATCCATTCCAAAATTCGGAATCGTACTGGAGAGTACGTTTGGCAATTTCGCGGATATTAAAAAGCAAGTTTCGAAATTTGGCTATCCGGATGGTTGAGTGTGTGTCACAGGAGAGGTATGCGTGTGCACCCGGTTAACACTTGTTTGCATGGCGTGTTTTTAGATAGTTTTAATTGCACAGTTCAGGACCGCTTCCAGTGGGTCTTCAATTTGCCAGGAGGATGACACCATGCCTTCAGAGAGCAGTTCGGTGGCGACAAACGATCCAAGCCCGAGTCCTCGGGCGATAAAGATAATTGGACAGGATTTGCCACGGTGGCTCTCCATGTGGGCATGATTGCACGGCTGGTTTGTGTCTTCAGAGAAGGGATCCCGGCACAATTGGAGGGTTTCGCGCACCACTGCCGCCAAGCCGGCCTGTGCCCGCGGAAATACGAAAACGAACTGCCACCACGAGCTTCTCGCGTCTTCTCACGCGTCGAGGATTTTCGGGCACGACGTCGTTCGAGGGAATATCGCGCCGGGGCCGCGATAGTTCCATTCTGTGTGCTGGTGCGAGCGTGTAAAGCCCTGCCTGCGGATGACCAGTCAGACCGCATCCAGGCTTCCGAACCAACCCTGTGTGAGTGAGGGCTTCTGAATCAGATGTGGATCCAGCGTAAGAGGCGAGGCCGGGCGCCGACCGTTCATTCTTGCTCGCCGCTGTTTCAGATGTGGAACCGGCGTAAGAGGCGAGGCCGGGCGCCGCGCACCACCGTGCCGCTAACGGCCGATATGCTGAACGAGCTGGACAAGAGCCACATGGCCGGCGTCGACAACTACGGCGCCGACGATGTGTACGACCCGGACGACGCCTGGAACAATGACAAGGTCACCTACGACCGACGGCTGGTGAGAGCTGGGAGCTGGCTGGCTAGGGATTCGGTTAAGGTACAGCTGTCTGTCGGGGGGGGGGGGGATGCTCAGGGGTCGACAGCTGGTGAGAGCTGGAAGCTGGGTGGTGAGGGATCCGGCGAGGGTACAGCTGACGGTCGGGCGGCGGGTGCTCAGGGGTCGTCCCAGTGATAGACATAGGTTTTAAATGTGAGGTCGAGAGGTCGCCGTGGCGGGGGGACGGGAGTGGTGTGCTTGGGACCTACCCTACCCCTCCCTGTGAAAATTTGCGTACTTACCCGTAACGGGTCCGCGTGACGTTGGCGGGCGGCGCTGGAAGTGGAGAGGAGGAGAGGGACCCGGGGTCGTGTGCAGAGTCAGACTACAGTCTAATGAAGTCATGTAAAATGTCCAGAGCGGCATTTGCATGCCAGCGTGAAAGCAATCCCAACGGGCATTGGTCCAACCCAGGCGCGTTAAAATGCCGGAGCGGCTGTGGGCACATTCCCCGCCAGAGTGGCACCAATGCCTGGCTGTCAAATTTGTGTGGCACCAATGCGCTGATGTCAAATTTCTCATGGGTAGACCGGTTGGGCACGACGCCACACTTAGCCCGGTTGCGACCGCCCGCTTAATCTGGCATGGCCTGGGGCCTTTCATCAAACGCGCAACTGTGTTGAGCACAAGGTTTGGGCGACACAAATCACATCGGTTGGAGAGCGTACCTTACATGGTCTCTGTTCATGACCTACTGCGAACCGACCCCACCGTAGTCAGACCAGGAGAAGAATGACGCTCAAGCGAGGTAAGGCAAAGGCGAAGACTGTGAATTGATGCACACATAGATGCAAAAAGCCGCGAAAGCCTTCACTATTGACGTCGCGTTTTGTGAACTCAGCATCGAGCTAAGCACACCGTCAAATTGATTGCCTGACATGTGTAAAAAATAATGGCCCTGCCTGCCTGCCTTTTGTGACGGTTCAGAAATTGTCCTTAACACTAGGAGTTCTCTCTCCCCCGGAGGTCGCTGGCCAAGCTGGCGGGTCCGTGGTCACCGCCGTGACTGTCACAGTGCGCGACGCGCTTCTCTGATCTTGTTGACGCACGAGTTTCGTGCTCTTAAATTGCGTGAAATGTCCCGGTCTTTGCCGTGACGTCAGTACCACACTGTGCCTCTTAGGTGATGGCAACCGTTCTTGTATCGTTTAACGCCGTGTAGTATGCTTTGTCCAAGTTTAAAAATTCAATAATAAATTGATAGGTTGACTCGAATGCAGACGCTCGTCTTGTGCCTAGGTTATCCGTAACTTTTGTGGGTCAATTTCAGTGTATCGTATTTTGAACATGGTTGGATTTCCCGATCATTAGTTTGCTAACAACTGGTAATCAATAGCAAACATATTCTGTTAAACCATCCTACGGGAGCGATGCTTCACTCCTCAGGAAGTTGGTATGGTGTGGGGGCTCGAGACTCTTTGGTTACGAGGTGTCTTAGAAAACTTCCCCCCGGTGACAGCAACCTCTCGCGGGATAACCTGACCCAGGTCGGCGGGTATATCGGCACCAAGCGCAACGATGCCTCTTGTCCAGGGCGGCGAAATCAAACCAGACGTTGCGTTTAGCGTGGTAGCTTTTCAATGTTTTTTATAGTGATCAAGGTTATGCTCCCCTGTTGGAGTATTTATTCTTCATGCCGTGACCGGGCGTCACCCGCGCGGAAAGCCTCGGCCGAGTACTCCGGACCGTGTCCAGCTGCACTGAGCGGGCTCTGGCCCTCCCGCGCCACTATCCTGACCCGCCCCTCTCGCCGCAGCGTTCCGCCAGCCGCGAGAAGAACAATGATATGAAGAACTACAACATCTACGACAGCTGGCGCAGCGACTACTCGGGACCGCACGGCTCGGCCGCCGGCTGGAGTCGGAAAAAGGTGGACAATTTCGACGACGACCCCGACGACTTCTGAGCGGCCGGCGCGATGGCGGTGATACCAGCGGGTGCACGGGGCGCCTTCGCAGTGACGAGTGCGCGCGCACCGAGTGTGCGTCTTTCACGGGGATCGGCCGGGCGCCGGTCAGCGGACCGACACACTGCCAGCAGTGGCGCCCGGCGCGCGTGCGTGCCGGTGTGAGACAGGGGCGAGAGAGAGAGAGAGAGAGAGAGAGAGAGAGAGAGAGAGAGAGAGAGAGAGAGAGAGAGAGAGAGAGAGAGAGAGAGAGAGAGAGAGAGAGGGGGGGGGGAGAGCAAGAGACGGTCAGCTGTTGGAGATTGCAGAGTTTATGCGCGTCGCATTAGTTCCCGGTAATGGCATTGGACGACCAGGAGCGCGGCGCTCGGTCCTGCGGCCGCCTCGTCGGTCGACTCCGGTGCCGAGCTGGGCCGGTCTGTGGCGAGGCCAGCCCGGCCTGCCCCCCGGCGACTCGCCCTGAGGCGACGCCGCCTCGGGCCGACTCTGTCCGGCTGGGCTCGCCGACCGAGGCCGGCCGTTGCCGCCAACACGGAGTGGCGGCTCCCTTGCCGGGCCGGGAGGGGAGGGCCGCTGCCGGCGTCAGCCGTCAGCCTTCGAGTCCGCGCCTTCCGCTCGTCAGGTCGGGGGCGAACGGTCATAGTCTGCCCCATTCCCCTCCTTCACGAATCGCTCACACTGTCCTGCTCTGAATTGTAGACAAATACATCTGGTGTTAAGGAAATTGTTCGTATAATTCGTCAGCCATGGAATAAACACCGACATAGATCATGATAGGGCTAGTTGCCGAGACCGACAGCGCACAAATCAACCGACCGGTCAAATAAAACAACATGAGTTGCAATCAAACAGCGCATCATTTCATGAAACTATTTCCTTTATTCGAGACAGGGAAAACACGGTAGCAAAATATATCCTACGAAAAAAGGCATGCCACTGCATGTAGGACGCGCAAACCGCACTGGGCGAACACACCCCACTAGCGGCCCGCCGAACCCGTCGGTCCCGGGAGGACGAAGCGGGCGGCTGCGTGCGAGCACCACGCGCCGCCGGCTGAAGCCGGGCCTCACCACAGGCCTCACGCGCGGCCCGCAGGCCGGCGGCGGCAGGCGCGCCTCGCTCGGGACCGGGCGTGACAGGCGCAGCTCACTCTCCCGCAACCATCGGGCCCGGCGCCGGCCGGTATACGCGGCCCGGCGCCCGGCTGTCAAGGCAATAAATTAACACTCGCATGCCCGATGCATTCCATGCCTACGCTATCGGTGACTAAAGCCACCATAAAGTTCCTCGCACACGGAGAACGGCGCCACTGATATCCTCAGCCTGTACATATTAGTAGATAGAATTAAGCATCACGATCAACACGTATTGCCAATTTCTGCGGCGCACTGCGCTCGACATGGAATCCAATAAGTCATCTGAAAATACCAACGCAATAGAGGTTGACCCGGCTGGGCGCCCCGCTATAGGTGGCCGTGGCGCCGGCCTGACCTGACCTGACCTGGCCTGTGGGGTGCAGGAGCAGAGCCGGTGCCAGACACGGCAGCCGTGTTGTCCCGGACATGCTATCACATCGCGCCGACGTCGGCGCTGCGACGCGCCCGCGCCGCTGTTTCATCTCATCCCAGCCACACCGCCGCTCTCCACACTCTGACCCTCACGCACGCACACCGCAGCACGTCGGCCAGCGGCCTGGCCGCCGCCGGCCTCACTTGTCCTCGGGCACGAATATCTGCACCGAGTCGGCGTCGTCCTGCTGGCGGCCAGCGCGGCGCGCCTCCTCTATGAGCCGACGGCGCTGCTCCATCATCTTCTTGCGCGCCGCCGACCGGGCGCGCGCCGCCTCGGCCTTTGCCGGGTCAGCGGGCGTGGCGCGCCGGCTCGGCGTCGACGTCTTGCTGCTGGGCGTGCTGTTGGCGCTGCTGGGCGGCTCCGGAGGAGGCGTCACCTGGCGGACGGCCAGGCGGCGGTCAGCGGCCGGCACCGACAGACACCTGTCCACGACCATCGGCGCAGCGCCCGGCAGATGCCAGGAGACGCGCCACCCACACATACACGCCATCACAGCCCGCCGGCGCGCAAAACACAGCACCACCTGTTAGCACATAACACGGCCGCTGTCATGCATTGTAAGGCAGCAAAGCACTGGCTGTGGATGTGCGATACTGAGACATAGCGGCCCTGTCGCCACCTAGCGGCACACCGGCAGGCCAGCCGCCAGAGGGCAGAGCGCGTCGTGCGACGGCACCGCGCATCGTCCCACGCTAGACATCAGCCCAAGTCGCCCAGCACGGCGGCGACGGAGGATCGCAGTCCCAGCAACTGGGTGGTATATTTGGTATAAAACCCAACTACTACGCCAGCAGTAATTGGGTTTAAGGGGCGCGTTAACTGAAGAGCTCATCCGCCCCCAGGCCTCACACCTCAGGTCCAGGAGAGGTAAACAAAAACCAAACACGCATTCAGAGCACGTGAGCTGCGCCTCCTGAGCTGTCACGGTCCGTCAGCACACGAGTTTGAAATAAATGCTTAGCAGAAAATTAAAAACGGCACGGGCTGGCGCCCGTGCTGTTTTTAACGGCGATCAACAATCAATGGCGGATCACCTAGCAGGCAAGCAGGAAGCTACCTAGACAGGTGGACAGACCACGTCATCCCGCTCGAAGCCGTCATCGACGCGCGCCCCCGGCTACTGTGGAGCTCAACGATCACATCCCAGCCCCCCCCCCCCCCCCCCCGCTGCCGCCGGCAATCGGACCAGCACCTGCGATCGTGCCGCGCGCCCGTCCGCCGGTGGCAGCGCAGGCTAACCGTGACAGTCAGCAAACTGGATCAGGAGCCGGCGCGCCTGCCCGGCCCAGCGCCACGCCTGTTTACTAAGCACACAGCGGCGGAGGCGGGCCCGGCCGACACGGCGCCAACAAGATCCAATAAGGCGACATCGGGCGACGCGAGCAAGCGGAGCCCGGCCGAGCAGGCAGCCGGCGCCCGCGGCTCGAGCGCGCGCTCAAGCGGCGTCGGCACTCGACGGTGGTGAGATTAACACGGCCGTCAGACGCGATCAAAACATCGCGAAGTTCACTGCAGCGACGGGGTCGCAGCGATGGCGACGTGTGACGTAACACAGCTACGGGCTGGGACTCGCCCACGCATCCCGCCCTTGCTGATGAGACGCGTTTGAAGACCAGCGCCGCCGCCGACGCGTCATATCAATCAGCATATCTGAAGCGGGGCGAACACGATCCGAGAGAGCCGTCCTAGCTGACGCGAAGGCCACCGCGGACACCCGGCGACGGCGGACCCACCATTCAACCCCGTCCGCAGGCCCAGACACCTACCGTGTCATCAGGGCTCAGCCCAGCCCCTCTGGTGTCGTCAGACCCCAGCTCAGTCCCTCTGGTGTCGTCAGGGCCCAGCCCAGCCCCTTTGTGGTGTCGTCAGGGCCCAACCCAGCCCCTGCGGTGTCGTCAGGGCTCAGCCCAGCCCCTTCGCGGTGTCGTCAGGGCTCAGCCCAGCCCCTCTGGTGTCGTCAGGGCTCAGCCCAGCCCTCCGTGGCGTCGTCAGGGCTCAGTCCAGCCCCCCTGGCGTCGTCAGGGCTCAGTCCAGCCCCTCCGCTGTGTCGTCAGGGCCCAGCCCGGTCCCTCCGGGGACGACATCATACTGGCCGGTCGCGGGGCTGTGCTGAATTGGTCGAACTGCTCAGCGGCCGGGCAGAGGCGGCACTGAGCCGGAACGCCACGTACTGAGGCACGCCGGGCAAACAGCCGGACGCGTTCAGCCGTGTAGCCTGGCAGGGGTTCCAACGCACAGCCGGGTCTGCACAGCCGGGGACGGTTCAGCCACAGCCGGGTACGGTTCAGCCGAAAGAGCCAGACAAGATCTAGCCATACGGACAGACAGGCCACGAGACAAGAGCGTTCGGCTACACAGCCGGAAAGCGTTCGACCACATAGCCAGAAAGTGTTGGGCCATACGACCCGAAAGCGTTCGGTCATACGGCCAGAATGCTCTCGTTCTTACAACCGAAAGCGTTCGGCTGTACTGCCGGATAAAAATTCAACGATGCAGGCAGACGGTTCGGCAGCACAGCCCGAGATTTATGACACCACCATGAAGGCCTCAGCCCCCCAACCAGGACGCGAGGTAGTGGCCACGCAGCGGGCATCGGATACACCCCGGGTCCATGAGGCCTCTAAGATCAGACAGCGACGACTGTCCCTTCCCGTCTGGCGAATAGGAACGTACAGCACATCGCAAAAGAGCGCAGCCGATATGAGCATGTGGTCGTCCTATTGATTCGCCGAGCGACCATATCGCGGCCAATCATCGCCGGCCGGTCGCATTCCAGGCCGCCAGCCGGGGCCTGGATGGCGAGCCCAGCAGTGCGACCTGCGACAGTCGGAAGCGGACGCCGCCGTACGCTGCGTGGCAGGAGCTGCCGGCGACAACCTCACTTCGCCACGGGCCGAGCCCAATGGGTCGCTCAGCGGCGTCCGTGTCCCCTCACTGGCGCGCTGACAGCCGCTCCTTTACGGGAGAGGCCGCCCGGATAAGCAAGGTCTAAAGACGGCCAGCATTAGCCCAACGTCAGCAAAGCCACAGAAGCCATAACAGCTTTTCGTCGGCCGGGAAAACCACCGCAGGAAACGTCAAACTGAGGGCCGCCGGGAGAACCGCAACTCGGCCCGCACTTAACAACAATGCCTCCAAATGACGTCCCAGATAACTGGCTTTAAACGGCGTGTATGTACACGGTTTACGCAAACACGCTCCTCGTTAGCGCTGGTAAGTGCAATTAGCAGCCTGATCGCGGCAAAAGGTGGCTACCTGACGCGTCCGAACAGTCGGTGCGGCAGGACCAAAGTCGGCTAACACCGCCTGACCACGGCGTGAGGTGCTCAGCATGTCCGGCAGACAGCCTCAGCTTTGATCACCAGCCCCGGCGCCGCTTGACGCCGACGGCAGCGCACGCGACACTGGGCCGCCAGAGAGCGCCGCTCTGGACACGGCCCGTCCGCCAGCGGCACACGCCACCGACGAGGGCTCGCGCGGCGGCAGCGCTCCGGCCAGAACCACGGCGGCCGAACGGTGCTCCCAGCAGCTGGCAGCACACGTGACCCGCACCACGACGTGGACCGAAGCCTTTTGGAAGGCGAAGCTCAGAGGACCTTCTGTACCTTGCGCTGGGAGCAACGGTGTTTGGAGGAAAATATCGGACCGTCATCGACCGGAGTCGTGTCCAGGACTGACTCCATGCAGTGGACGCCGTGATCCGCTACACATCGCCCTGGTACGGGACGCGTCCCATTTCGCTGCTGGCCACACCGCCCAGTCCGCGGTCGACCCGGCACAAGTCAAAGCCGACAACCGACCTTACAGATCCCAACCGGGCAAAATACCGTTAAGCCCGGGGAGACTACCATTACCGGCACCATTTCTAATACCATTCAGAGGAATGTTACACATTTGAAATGTGTAACAATGCGGAGGTGCAGCATATCAAAATTGCCCAAAAATTGCTCGAAACAATTATAACGCTCAAAATTTGAGCATCAGATATGATGAAACAAGCTCACTTATTACTATTGGTACACTTTTTAGGTGCAAAGGACTGCTCCAGACAGCACAATTCATATTTAGTAAAGATGCTCCTCAATGCGTCATGGTTTGATTACGTCACCATGCCCTGCACAACATTGACTGAGAGCCATTTGACGGCCATTAGATCTGGAAATCGCGTTCACGAATGTCAGATATGAACGCCTCGATAATTATAGTTTTGTTGGCCTTGTTCGCCGCATGGCTTCTGGAATGGCAGAATTTGAATGGCGTTACGTCATGAATGCCACGGTGACTTTGAAATACTCTCCCCGACACATCTTTCCCTATTTTCGCGGGCGTGTAGCTCAGAAACTAGAGGGGATTAGGTCTTAAGGAGGGCAGGATTGTGAGCAGCACCGAAAGACCTTCAAGATGGCCATTTCACGTCAAACCCCATATGCACTCCCTTTAAACCCCAGTGGCAGAGTGTGAATTCACGTCTGCGGTTTCAATTACCTAATATAACTAACATGGGCCCGGCGCGGCCTCGTCCTACCACCCACACTCCAATTTGCAATGATCGTAACACCGATCTTCACGGCCGGCCTCGCCATGCGCGCATGCTGGCACTGCATTGTCCGCCAGCACACCGACGTATAACAAGCATCGCGTATCAGCATTGTGCGTGGCAAAAATGCTCGTCACGCAGTCATTCGCACCAGCGCTAGTGTCGTAAATGTGCGAGTGCGTGCATTTTCGCGTCACAGATCACCTCGGCCATAATGAGAAAATGCATTGTTAATCACATTACAGAACAGCATCAACAAGAGCGCGGGGACGCTAACACGATTCCGGAGAGACGCAACGGAACGGGCAGAGCTGAATGCATGCGAGCTTGCCAATTACGACGGGTGCGCTGAGATTGCATAAGCGGATAGCAGCAGTCACTGTGTTGACAACCTGCAGCAAACCGGAGAGTAACACTCGGGAAGGGGAGACCTGTCGTGAGAGGCACCTGACGGGAGACCCGGGAAAGAGGAGGCCCGCCATGAGAGGAAGCCGGCGGGAGGCAATAGCTGTGCCTGCTCAGTATCGCGCTTCCATTTCCATTGCCTTTAAACACCGCCAACGTCAGCGGCGGGCCGCCGACGGAGCGGCGGCAGGCAGGGCCTGGCCAGGGGCGGCTCCACGCTAGACAGAGCAGGCGTCAGCGGCGGGCCGCCGTCTGACGGAGCGGCGGCAGGCAGGGCCTGGCCACGGCGGCTCCACGTTAGACAGAGCAGGCGTCAGCGGCGGGCCGCCGTCTGACGGAGCGGCCCGCCGGCACTGATGGCCGCCATACGTCGATGTCGTTCCGGTCAGCGCTGCGTCCGGCCAGCGCGGCCGCGGCACTAGCCGCGAACCAGGCCGACCCTCCCGCCCCCTCCCCGCCTGCGCTAAGCTCGCCAAGCTCGCCGCCGTCGGAGCTTCAGCGCCGCTGCTCGGGTCGGGCCGCCGGACGCTGCAACTGCGGCGTCCCCGGTGGCGACGCCGCCCCCGACACGGCCCACCCATTACCGCACCAGACCCCACCCGACGCATTAAGACAGATGCCCCATAACGACCTCATCCATCTCACGGGATGCGTCGCGGCCGCGAGGCACTTTTAGAAATATGGCCGGCCTGGTGGCGGCGCTGACACCCCATTGCCAGCCGCATGAAAACTCGCTCCGATGTCGCGCCCGTCCCTCGACGAGGCGCTGGGCCCGCGCATGTGCCCACCGTTGTCAGCGCCGCTCAGGCCGACAGAGGTGCAGCGAAGGCTCCGCTCAGCACAAGGCACAAAGCCTGAAATATGAGCCGGCGATATCGTCCTGGGAAGAAGCGGTCACAAAAGCCCCGCGTCGAGCGCACCAGTGATCAGATCGGGCTCATATTGTTTCCGGATGTCCAGTCGTGGCATCAATACAACGTCTGGTTGCCAGGAGACGAGACGGGCGTAACGGTGGGGCCAGCTCCGTCCCATCGGCACACCAGAGTGGCGCGGGGCTGCCAGTGGCCAGTGGCGCGGGGCTGCCAGTGGCCGGTGGCACGGGGCTGCCGGTGACCGGCGGCGCAGGGTTGCCGGTGGCCGGCGGCGCGGGGCTGCCGGTAACCGGTGGCGCGGGGCTGCCGGTGGCCGGTGGCGCGGGGCTGCCAGCGGCCGTTGGCGCGGGGTTGCCGGTGGCCGGTGGCGCGGGGCTGCCGGTGGCCGGTGGCGCATCCGCCAGGCGACTCTTCTCTGCCCATCTCGGTTCTCACCCAATGGCCCGCGCCGCAGCGGCGGGTCAGAGTCGGCTGCCTCTCACGCGCCAAACGCCAGCGACGCGCGCACGGCCGGCCCGCTCTATCGTTCTGAAGCGGACTGGGCGACTCTGCCGCCGACCGAGGCCTCTCCCGCGAAGATAACGCGAGCGGTGGCGGCCGGGCCGCCAGAGGCGCGCACACACAGTCGCCATGGCAAAAGCTGCCAGGCGCCGGGGCCTCCTCTGACAACAGTCCCGGCCGCGGTTCCGTTCTGGGTCATTAGTCTAGCCGTGCCCGGATGCCGGCTGGCGGAGCTGACTGATGACTCCCTGACGCAGCGCCCAGATGGCGTACTTGGTATCACGACGTCCGAGGCATCAGCAACACGCAAAAATCCGACTTCTGTGTACGACAATAATCAAAAGGTTTCCGAAATAACGCCCCAGCAGCAGTCACACATCGTAAATAGCCAGAAGACCAATCCTCGTCGCCGCACACTTAACTGCGAAATCTGACCACCGAGGCGAACTAGCGGATCTACATTGCAAACGCCGCATCACGGTCAGTAAACCGTGCAGCCGAAAACCAAGCAGCTACGTGATCAGCACATCACAAAGCGCAGAGCAGTATTTTGTATGCATGGTATCCGGGCCAAGGATTACCGAGAGCAGATATGTCACCGGACGCCCGGGCCGGGACCTCGGTCAGGCACACCACAAAAGCGGCTGCGCGTGCGCAGACACAATCGAGCTGTGTGAATGGGAGCGCGGTCAGCCGCAAAGGTCTGCCGCCGCTACTACCCGAGGCTACGGACCAACGCAGTCAAGGGCACCGACCTGCACACGTCCTGAGACAAGACCGAGGCCGGCAGGGACGGGCGCGGCCGCGCGTCGGCACACCTCCCCACTGGCTCTCACTTCGGGCAGCCGCCAGTTGTTGGCACATCTCCCCACTGGCTCTCACCTCAGGCAGCCGCCAGTTGTTGGCGCGGATGGCGTCCAATTCGTCCATCATCGAGTTGATGTGCTGCACCTGGATGAGCACCATGTCCCAGAAGCCCTGTAGGTCGTCGCCGGTGGTCGGGAATGGGTCATCGGCCGGCGGCTTCTGTCGGAGCGAGCGGGAACAGAACGTCAGCGGTGGCCACACCGGTCGCCGCAGATGGCGGACGGGCCGCGGGTCTGGCCATCACGAGTACACACGCACACGCACGCGCCCACAATCCGGCCGACTCCGCGCTGGCCCGGTCGGCTGACACGGCGCGCCACAGCAGCTGGACGGCACTACCGTCCCGGGGAGGGGGAGGGGGAGGGGGAGGGGGAGGGGGCTGAGTTTGAGCTCGCCGAGACAGCGCTGGTGTCCCGGCCAAGCAGACCGCCGTCTCAGCCCCGCCTGGGGCAGGCCCTATCGACCGCCCAATGCCAGCCGAACCGACAACACTCGACCACTGCACCGGCAGACGGCCAATGCTTCATCGACGACGAGCGGTCGGACGCTCCCCCTCGCATCCGTCCCGCCTCAGGCTTCCTATTGACAGGCCGTTAAGGACGGGCGGCTGTCGTCAGACGAGCACTAACAATGTTCTTCTCGCAGAGGCCGCGGAACTGCTGGAACTTCTGCGCGATCAGCAGGTTAGCCTTGCCCTTGGCGGCGCGCACTTTGCCCTCGATCTCGGGCGTCAGCGTGAGCGAGTTCAGATCGTTCTCGGCCTTGGTGGCCAGCGCCAGGATCCGCGTGGTCTCTGCGTCCAGAATCTGTTGGCACAGGTCGCCGGGTCAGTCGAATGGCAAATCATGCCGCTGGGATACACTCACGGAGCGTGCGCGTTTCTCCGCGACCGGCTACGTAAGAACCGAGCCTCAACTGACAAAGCGCTACTTCTCTATAGCTTCCCACTTACCAAGCTACCCAGCGAGCAGACGGAATGCGCCACTTACACACGAGATGCCGCTGCTTGTCTGCAGTAAGCACCAATTACGCCACGCGAGCGGCGCGTAGCAAGATAAGCCAGATAACGAGGAGTACACAATGGGGAAAACCGCAGGACGAAGGCACGTCGAGTCCCTGACATATCGACCAGGGGGCCACCTCACCGTGAAGAAGTATATGCAATTCAGGTGCATGCACCGTTTCACGGCACCCGCAGCTGCCTGACCATCACCACCAAACACCAGATCCGCCAAACGACCGGGCGCGCTCATCCGATAAACACTGGGCGGCCCGAGGAGGGACGGGAACCGGAGGACACTGCACCTTGAGGAACTTATGGCCGGGCTTCTCGGCGTCGGCGTCCGGCCGCTGCGGGTGCGGCTGGCTGAGCGGGCCGGCGGCGGCGCTGATGAGCGGAGGGTCCGCCGCTGTGATGGGAGGCACGGCTGTCTGCGTCGGCGACGTGTCGGCCGGCGGCGGCGGCCGCGGCCGGCTGCCCGCTCTGACGGCCAGCTGCTGACGGAACTCGGGCCGCAGGTGGCGGAAAACGGGCAGACCCGGGCTGGCCGGCGGCGCCTCCGACTCCGGCGCCGCCGCGTCCGCCGCCGGCAGCAGCAGCGGCGGCGGCCGCGGCGCCGCCGTCGGCTCCTGGTCCAGCGACGCCGTCCGGTTGGGCAGCGAGCGGTTCAAGTTGAGCCGCCGGAAGCCCGAGCACAGCGCGCCCGGCCCGTACAGGCGCTCGATGCGCGCCTGGACGAACGAGCGCGACACAGCGCCGTCGGCGCTTGACTCGGCGCAGGCGTGCGTCGGCTCGCCGGCACGCTCCGTGACGCTGACGGTAACGGTGCGCTCCAGCCGCACGGCCCGCACGTGGCCGTTGACGGGCGCCGGTGAGGGCGCGCTGCCGTTCAGCAGTCGCGCGCTCTCGACCCGGCTCTGGCGCAGGTAGCCGCGGTCCACGCTCACACTGCGGCTCTGCTCCAGCTTCTTGAGCGCACGCTGGCTGTCGCGGCCGCGCTCGCCGTCCACCAGATGAAAGCCGTCGCGCAGCTGCTGCTTGATCTGGCTGACGCGGCTGGGGCTGGCGAGCGCAGCGCCGCCTGTCGGGCCGACGTCAGCGCCGCCCGGTGGCGACGAGTCGCGGCTCAGCGAGCGCAGCGAGCGTGCCGGCGAGCTGCCGCGCGACTGCGACAGCTCGCCGTTGCGACCACGCGCCGCGTACCGGTTGAGGTTGCTGTAGCCACTGACACTGCACGAAATGCCGACGTATGAAGGGCGTTTCTGTGGCGCGGCGCCGTTCCGCTCGCCCTCCGAGAGAAGACGCACCGCCTGCTTCACAACCTCGGAGCTCTTCATCGACGTTTTGAGCGTGTGCGTTTCCTGCAGCAGCCGCTGAGACATGTTGTTGACCACGGCGCGGTCCACTTGATCTGCAGCCAATGAATATCTGGTCAGTCATCTACAGCCCACACGGTATGATCGCATACGTCAAGTTCCGCGCGACTGCGAACGAACCCTTCCGCTCGGCATGCGGCAACAGTCAGCGCCAGTCGAGCTGCTCGGTCGCAAAACCTTGTTTACGCAGCCGGCGCCGCCCGTTGGCCATTGATTGATCCTCACCTACACTTGCGAAGTCAAGTTAGCTGGCGGAAATGCGCACCAGCTTCACTAACCCGGCAGCACACGTCCTCTCATTTGCTAACAGCAACGAGACTGACGCGGGTAACCTCCGGGAGAGAATGCTGTGCTCTGTCAGTCGGTGTTGGGGTAGCAAAAGACTCACCCTGGCCGCAGCCATTTGTTCGCAATTCCTCCTGAGCGTCCATTATTATTCTAGTGGAGGCCAGCTGTGGGCCCCGGACTACCTCCTTTTCCGAAAACCTGCAACAAAGAAACACCGACGTGCACTTGCACAAGATCCCTGCCGTCAAAACAAAACTGGTTGAGAGCTCATAATCCTGGCAACAAGGAATACGAGCCATTCAAGGAAAACACAGACCGGCCCCCGCGTCCCAGTCACGTGCCTGCAACCGTGAGCAGCATGACACGGTGGAACACTCGCCATGACAGCCGAGCATGTAGCGGGTGCCGACACGGGCGCCGGCGCTGCCGATACTTGTCCGCAGCTCGCCTCTACTGACCGGCGGACTGTGCGCCGTGGCGGGGTCGACCGTCCGGCCGTCAGCTGGCGTGCACGACCGGTGCCCGCGCTGTCCCAGACCGCCGAACCAGCACGGCACACGAGCGGAGGCACGGCCGGCCGCGCCACATCGGTGTCGGACCGGGCGCCGCCGCCCTCTGAGCCGAGGCACGGCCGGCCGCGCCACATTGGTGTCGGACCGGGCGCCGCCGCCCTCTGAGCCGAGGCACGGCCGGACGCGCCACATCGGTGTCGGACCGGGCGCTGCCGCTTTCTGAGCCGAGGCACGGCCGGCCGCGCCACATCGGTGTCGGACCGGGCGCCGCTGCCGCTCTCTGAGCCGAGGCACGGCCGGCCGCGCCACATCGGTGTCGGACCGGGCGCCGCTGCCGCTCTCTGAGCCGAGGCACGGCCGGCCGCGCCACATCGGTGTCGGGCCGGGCGCCGCTGCCGCTCTCTGAGCCGAGGCACGGCCGGCCGCGCCACATCGGTGTCGGGCCGGGCGCCGCCGCCCTCTGGGCGGTCCCAGCTGGCGGCGACGGGCGGGCCAGCACCGAGCCGGCGGCCGTCCGATCCACGCTCCACCCTCTCCCTGGTCGCGGCGCCACTCGTTGGTCCGGGAGGCGCCACATGCTGCGAGACGGGGCACGTGACCCATGTCACGTGGTGAGGGGCGCGATGCCTAATGACGTCGGGGCTTAACGATAGCAATGCTGACGGGATACGTGTGCGCAAACTCCCAAGCGAGGGACGCGCTTTACTGCCTACCCAGCCCCCATAAAGGCCGTGGTCATCTTTTTATCATTTCGTGTGGGGAGAGGCGCCTGGTGATAAGTCTTTACTTTTCCACCAATCGACGTGAATCACGCATTTCACCAGATATAAATGGCATCGCCAGGAATCGACGAACGAAACCAATTAGCGGGCTCCACCATTTGTTTCAATTAGAACACAATAATCTGTGGTCAGGGTTGGCACACCAGCTTCACGGGCCACCGAACCCACCTCCACACCATAGCTAAATATGGCAATCATCAATTATAATTGGCAATTTGTGGTGCTTTAATGCTGACCATACCATGAGAACCAATTAAATGGAGTATCAGGAGGAAGCTATTCCGAAACATAGATTCGTATCTCATAAAGCACCATCAAACACACACAAGTGACCAAATTGATTTAAGTTAATAATGAGTGCAAGAAAAAAAGGTGGATTGATCTTCTGATGTGGCATACAAAAACCAGCTTGATCGATGAGACTCGCTGATCAGTCAACTGAATGCCTTCACACCTTTGTTGGCATTACCACACAGTACATTTCATAATGTGAACAATCAGAAATAGGTATGATCAAGTAGCATAAAAGCTGCAAAGATCACAAAGGAATATTCCCAACACTCGGGGATTAAAACCAAGACACATGAGATGTGAGACACAGCTACCTGTCCTCAAATTTTGCACACCAAAGTATTTTTTAGAAATCCCAAATGTCAAATCATAATGATAAGTGACCTACTGTTCATTGGTGTTTTCGGGCACAGTCGACCACCATGTTACTACTACTACTACTACTACTACTATGATAAGTGACCTAAAACCAATCCAAAAACAAACTCACTTTCACCTTCCCTAAGCTAAATAACACCTAATTGTTGCCAGTAATTAGTTCTAGTAACTCTTAATGACACTGAAGAAGGTTCCGCCAGCCCTGTGGCAGGAGCCTAACACACCTACACTGATCAGGTATGCCCTGCTGCCATTGCATGCACAGGCCTTTGAAATAACACTCACAGTACCCCACATAGGTCTACCCTGTATTTGGCAGCTCTCAGGTGAGCAGTATGATACCTTCATACAAACCATATTTCAACAGTCAGTATGTCCTATTCAAGTTTTGCATGGCTGTCTGCACATCCACTGACAAGAATGTATGGTTTACTTTTGTCTTTAGGATTTGGTTCATGTAGCACATACTATGGTTGGTGTTTAACCAGCTGAGGTCAACCTGCATGAGCTATGGGCTACAATGACTCACCAACAAGAGTCATATCATGTAAATTATGAATTGACAGTTAACATGAGCTTTCCTGCCTTTTCCATAATTTGCTGGCAACCATCCCACAGTTTCTGAACAGTTAGCTGCAACCAGCATGATCACATACCATGTAACTTAGCTACCTCAGATATGTACAAAATTTGGATTATTATAATGTGACAAGGCATGATCTCTCAAACAAGCTGCTATTTTACTGTCTTTGGAGAATGTGCTTTGACTGGTGTAACTGTATCTGATGATGCTGAGCATCTAGCAGCTTTAGAGTCCTGTATTGTCAATTGGCTGAATATATACCCCTAACAATACACATCTCTGCTGTTGCAAGTCGGAACAGGCAAAAAGACAGGTGTTTTGCAACCAACAAAGGCTGAATAGAGCATATGTTGTCCCACCATATACAAAGTAACTGGAACGGGCATGACTGGAATGAACTAAAACTGGAGATAGAGCACTTAACTTCTACTCATGCTCATACTGACATCCTGACATGAGTGCCCACTAGTTTCACTTATGCAATAATCTGAAAGTGGAAAAGTTAAGAGGTACTTGTGAGGAAGTTCCAGCAAACATGTAGCATACATCCCCTTTGAAATCAATAGTGAGCTTATCAGTACTTATGGCATATCATTCTATATCATATCTGCAAACAATTGACTTATATATCAGCCACTAAGTTAGCAACCAGCCCTGGAATCTAACACAGCTGCCACATGATCACAATATTGCCAAGGGCACTGCCACAAGTCAGGTTGTGATGGATTTCTTAAAAATTGTGTTAAAAACCTTTTGCCAGTTACTTGCAAGCCGCATCATTTTATCTGCTTGCCTCTATCCTCAAGTGGTCCAGAATTGAGCTGTGAACACTTAGAAAATGCGTGGCAGACACATGGACATGCATGTTGGAAATTTCAGCCACATGACTTGCTTGGTGGTGGTTCTAAATGGTGGTGAGATGAACAAGCTGAAACAAGGCTGTCCTGTCAAAGCCCTGCTGACTATACTGAAATTCTAAAGGAAAAGTGTTATGTCAAACTTGATTAACTTAAATGGGATGGTGGGATCAAGGTTTTCAACTTTGCTTGACGGGCTCTGGGCACAAAACCATGTTGCAACGAGCCATGTAATAATGATTGCTCTCTACGCACACACAGTTTAGTGAGACAGATGAAACTTTAGATGGTAAATGAGATTAGGAGAAGGGACCTAACCATCCCATCTAAATCTGGGCAAAATTTCATGTGACCCCATGGGGAGGCAGGGAAGAAAACCATATGCAAACTACAGTTATACTATTCACAACTTGCATAATCCAGCCATCACCAGTCTTAAAAAACACTGATATGCTTTGTAAAACACGGTATGCTGTAATTTAGTATAAAAATAAAGGTATGTTTCTGAACAAATTATAACTTCTTGAAATCCATGCAACATTTTTGTTCAAATGGTTTAGTGTATTTTGGCCAGTCACAGAATTGCAGGTTTAATAAAAAAAATTTGTGGCAGCTGCTTTACCGCAAAAACTGTTGTGTCACTAGCATGCATCATGACCTTTGATTTATTTATTAATCAAATGTATGGCATAAACCGGCAGCCCAAAAGGGCATGCCAAACAAACTTATAGAATAAGAATATTGAAACCGAAATGCTAATGTTGACACATTGGAACATAACATGCCTCTATCACGGGCTAAATTCAACCATGAGCGGACACTCATAGATTACAGTTTTTACAGAAGATTAGAACGACCTTTCGAAAAAACGCCGTTCCTGGCCCCAGTGGCAAAACCCACCCCATGACGCATTCATGTTGACGATGCGAAATTACAGCGTTTCTAGCGACGCTGCCAAGATTTAGCATACACACCATCAGAACAAGTACTGTAAAACCCAAGCTAACATACGTACGGAATAATACAGCCTGGCCGGTGTCCACTTATTTGGTACTATAAGCAATGATAACGCTCATCACCCCCAAAACCGCAAACCCAGCCTCAACACAGCTATGCTGAATAACGGGGCGAGGCCCCAGCCGAGTAACGCCGCGCTACGTGCGCCACCGCCGCAGTCAGCAGTAGAGATGGGTAATGCACAGAATACTTGCTGTTTCACCAGTTGAGTAAGTACGTCAATCCCCGTGCTCTGCTTGTACATACGCATTCTAAGAAAGATTGCAACCATAATCATTAGTTTAAGTAACACAGACAGGGTCCTTGTCTTGCCGACCAGAGACCTTAAGGAATTTGCGACACTTGAAACCAGGGACAATCCAAAGCCCAGCCCATCTGTACAGCTGCTGGGACCGGTAGACTGTGTCGTACCTTCCTCCCTGGGAGGGAGCAGCCATCGTCATTACAGCTGGGAGTGTCATCACCACAGGCTGGTCATGAAATTATATTTTCTTTCGCTGTCCCCGTGGCCTTCGGGTGTTTTTTTACCATGCTGTTCATTGCAGGGTGGGGTGAAATGGAATTTGGCAACATCATTACAACCAAACATCATTAACCCATCATTAACCAATCAACCATCATTACTCAGCATCATGTTCCCCAATGGTGCTAAGCAATAATCAGTTGCGTTCAGCAACTCATAATCAACCATTCGTATTGAGCAGCACATGTATTGGATAGAGAGTAAAAACAGACTGCTTCAAATACAAACATTAAAATCGCTGTAAAAGTAACAGTG